ATATATTCAGGTCTGGAGCCACGTACGCTGCCAGCAGATGACTTTTTTAGAGAAGGCCTTGCCTATTTCAGCAAGACAACGCCAAACTAAAGTCTGCAAAAAAAAAAAAAAATCTAAGCAGCAAAAAGAGGAAAACACTGCTGTCAAAGCCACAGAAGCTGGTCTCTTCAGTTCCCAAATGTTTACAGAGTGATGTTCAAAGAGGAGGTGATGCAACACTGTGGTAAACATGTCCCTGTCCCCAAGTAACAAACGAGCATAAAATAGAATTTCAACAACATTTTTTTTAATATGTTGCCTTTCTAACATTTCCTGGTCACATATGGACGTTAAATGATTTGCAAATCTGTGGAAATGTGGTTGTAGCTGTAGCAAACGGAGAAAACGGGAGAGTTATCGCCACGCAGAATAAATCTTTAGTCCAGATGGAGCCAGATTTTTTTTTCTGTCAACAATGAGGACCTCCAGTCCCCCAGCACCACCGCAAAACTTCAAAGTCTTTCTGCCCGAGCCTTCAAAAGGACCAAAGTCTATCCAGTGAGATGCCACACACACACACACGCACACACACACACACACACACACACACACACACACACACACACACACACGCTCTCTGAAATGGAAGGGGTATGGAAAACGAGGCACCTCCAGAGCGCACCGGGTCTGTTTAGAAACACAAAGGCTCTCTTTCAGGTGTGCCACAAAACCAGACCTTCTCCCTCCTCCACCTCCTCCTCCTTCTCCAGCCACAATATGAGCAGCAGGCAGGCATCCTGAGGCATCAAAGTGTTTCTCACCATCCTGCCACTTTAGTAAAGTGAAGGTCACCGAGGCCTTGCCAGTTCACAGCGAGTTATGCAGGTGTGGACTTGTGTGCAACAAAACCAAACGTTTTGCCAAACCATGTCATTCATGTATTCATTTAATTCTTCTGCTTCGCTTTGCCGGCTTATCTGGTGCATGTTTTCATGTATTAGAATAATTTCGACTCCATCTGTTGTGTCGCTTAATGAAATGTCATCGCAGTTTAGGTTTAAAAGCCCCGTCCACACACACACACACACACATTTACCCCACACACTGCTCTACATTTTTATAGTGCATTCTCATAAATTGTTGGCAATTCGTTCCTGAATTGTCGCGGATGAGATCAACAAAATAATGAAGTGCTGTTCAGAATCAGCTCATGCACGTCACGTTCGGTTGGAATCAAGAGTCACAGCTTGAGAAACTGAGTGTGAAACTGAAAGTTAGGTGTTTTTAAAAAAAGACCTTTGTGACTTCTTGAAAAATTGCTAGGGATTTATCTCTCAGGCTGATAGATATCTCAGTGGCATGTTAATACACAGAGGCAGACACTGGTGCTATATCTGTTGGTGGTCACCTGCCCAAATCCCCTCAGCCCCAAGGACGGCAACCGCTTGCAATGCTGATCATGTTCGTCCTTGACCCATTTCGGCGTCTCCGGACACCGAAGCTATCGGTGTCTACGCCCTCTTTTCTCTATAGGTTGTGCTGATTAAGGGCAGCATTTAAAGCAGAAACTGGAGCAATCTGCCATCAGCTCTGCCTGACTGCCGCTTTGACTGTTCGGTCAGCAGCTAGCAGCCTGATTACAGCCGGCTTTATGGCTCAGCCTGGACAGATGGTGTTCCTCCTCTGCCCTGCCTCCATGTGCTCATTTTCACCCACTACCACATAACCGACAGCCACTGCTGATCACTGAAAAGCCACCAGGAACATCGTTGTGGTCTTCTGCCTTTGGCTCCAAAAATATGAATGGATAAAACCACTGGTCAGTCACGACATTATAAAAATGAAGACAGACAAAATGAGGAGCATTGGTTATCGTTGGGTCCTGGTATTTTTATGGTTTCTACTTTGCACTTTGTTAGTCCACCAAAATCTGTTTCAGACCAAACACACAACTCCCCGGTGGCACCAGCTTCCTTGAAAATGGCAATGCTCCCTACCATAACGCTAAAATAAGAAAGACAATAAGAAAGGGAAAGAATAGCGTCCATGGGAGAGGCCAAGGAGAAAACCACTGCTGACCAAAAACAACACAATGGTTCGTCTCACATTTACCAAAAACATCTGGATGATCCCAAGAAAATATTCTGTGGACTGACGAGACAAACTTTGTGGAAGGTTTAAGTCCCGTTACATCTGACATCAAACTAACAGCATTTCATAAAAAGAGCATCACAGCAACAGTCAAACATGGTGGTGGTAGTGTGATGGGGCTGCTTTGCTGCTTCAGGACGACTTGCTGTAACTGATGGAACCTTGAATTCTGCTCTGAAGGAGGATGTCTGACCATCAGTTTATGCTCTGAAGCTCAAGACCACTTGGGTTTCGCAGCAGGACAATGATCAGAAACACAGCAGCGAGTCCACCTCAGAATGACTCAAAAAAAAAAAGAGAAGGTTTTGGAGTGGTCGAGTCAAAGTCTGGACTTAAATTGGATTGAGATGCTTTGCTTTGTCCTTAAACAGGCCCTTCATGCTGGAAAACCCTCCAATGTGTCTGAATTAAAACAATTCTGCAAAGAAGAGTGGACGTAATTCTTCCACAGTGATGTGAAACACTGATTTCCAGTTTACACAAACTCTTGATTGCAGTTCTTGCTGCCAAGGGCGGCACAACCAGTAATTAGGTTTAGGAGGCAGTTCATTTTTTCACACAGCGACAGGTAGGTTTGGATAAAATTGATCCCTTAATAAATGAAATCATCATTTTAAAACTGCATTTTGAATTTACTCAGGTTATCTTGACACATGTAAGTGTGACAAATATATAAAAAACTAATAAATCAGAAAGGAAGGTTCCTCACAACACTGTACGTGAGAATCCTGAAACCTTGAAGAATTTCTTTGAATTACACAAGTATTTTTTAAAACTGTGTAACAGTGTCCTCGTAGCCCCCACATACAGTTTATGAATGTTTGACATTCTTGTACAAATAAGTCAAAACTTTGATAACATTGCCTGTAAATGTGTAAAGGACATCCAGAAATTGATTGAAACTCTGGTTGGTTAAACTTTTTGAATGATTCATGCACTTTTGCACTGCCTCAGTAAGTAATACAAGGCCTTCTGTCACATTGACAGGCACATGAGTCCCGACTTTGAGGCTAGAGAAAAAAGGAGGTGATAGTCCTTGCTAATGCAAATAGCATGCGGCAGACTGGGTTGAATGTCGCTCTGAACGTTCAAATTTACATCTCAACTCCTTCCGTGTGGGTCCTTCCTTGTTTAACTTCACCGCAAATCAAACCAATCAAAAGTTGAAGAAGAAGATGGTGTCATGAATCCAGATGATTCCCAGCTGACAGTGTCAACGTTTTTTCTTTTGTCGAGACTTTTTTAAAAATTTTTTTTTTTTTTACAAAGACTGCCTGTTACTCTGGATCCTCTGGTGCTCCTGAATGTCAGTTTCATCTTATCACTTCCATTTACATGATCCCAGCTGGGCCTGAGATTATCTTTCACAGCTTATCTGGTGCTGGGGTAGGTTTTCTTTTCTTTTTCACAGAATCACAAAGTGAACGCCTGTGAGGTGAAAGGTCACCGTACAGCGCTGGGGATTGAGAGGGCATGTGGCTGCTATTCAGATGGAAATAGGTAGAGGTGTTTTCACTCTTTGGTACCTGTTCTGCATGCAGCTTGCAGCGTTCGCAGCACAAAATAGAAGCAAAAGATTGTTTCTGAGCAGACGGGGGCCTTGAAGGTCAGGGTCGCTCGCTTGGTTTGTGCTGCCGTGATTGCGCTTAATTCAAGTCATCAGCAGACGTGAATACAGCTGTGCGCTGACACACGCCTAGAAAATCTCACACAATAAGTCAGTAAACACTGCGACTGCAGTTTTTTGCACTCAGTCTGGTCATTTTGGACGACATGTTCCTCGCATAGCGAACGGAGCAGAAGTTGGGATTCAGTCCAGAAAAATTACGACTCATCCATCTTGTGTCTCTGGCTCTGATTCAGTCCCATTCCCCTTTCTATTTTCACTTCTGAGCCATTTGTGTGTGTGTTTGTGTGGGCTTTCTTATGGAGAGTATTAAAACAAAGGAAGAAGAACGCAATGATCCGTTTCAAACAGCAAGCCTTTAGCTTGAAAACAGATTCCACGTCAGATGTTTTTAGCCGAACATTTGACTCTGAGGCTGCTGGTATCACATGGGTTGGGATGTTTTATATACTGTTGAGGTCATTTGGACCTTGGCTCTGAGTTACTATCTTTTTTGGAGTAGTGGAACCTAAAACCCTGAAAGGCACTGTTATTAGCCTTTATCTATCTTTGTTTTTGCTTGGGTGAGCGTGCATGAGAACAAGAAGTCCTCAAAATTAAATTAAAAAATGCACCATTCTGCAGAAAAACACATCTGCCAGTACATGCCTCAAATCTGAGGGTGGTGGTGGAGGTTTTATTAGATTTTTCAGGAAAGATGAGGGTTTGCTTTACAGTAAGACAGGAAAATACAGTACATGCACTACCCCATCTAAAAATGGGGCAGGTGCAGGGCCAGAAGACGTATCAACACATGAAAAAGTTCAGCTTTACCTATTTATTATTAATATTATTTATTGTTTGGGATCATTATCATGATGAAAAATGAAGATGTTATCAATCAGATGCTTTTACCAACAGTTTTGACAATACTCGGTCCTAATTTCATGTGTAAAAAAAACGTATTTAGAGCTAACAGGAAAATAAACTGTTTTAAAACTACACTTCTTCACTCCTACATGTTTTGTTGACCCTACATGCACCCTGAGCTCCTCCGTACGCACACAGTGGCAATGTATAACATTAGCATACTTCCTCCTTTGCTGGGCTGATATTTATGATGATGTTGTATGAAATAAAATAAAATAAAGAACTTAATATTAGTTTTAAGGACATTATAGCCTCTGACTTTTAGGTCTCCACATCATCATCATTTCCCACTAATGCATCTTTTTTTCTGATGATGTGTGTTTCGTGTGCGCAGGATGGAAGAGACAGTGCGGTCACTGCTGCAGAATCAGGGTGTCCTGGAGCAGACTGCTGTGGACACGGTGGACATCATGAAGGTCTACAAGGTAAACTCTCATTTAAAAATCTCATTACAGTGAGACTGTGATGCCAGTGATGGTCCAGAGAGAGGTTATTCTTAAAGCTGCTTCAATTTTAGGAAAAGGTACAGAAATAATGAAAGGACAAATGAAATTTGTTATTTTCAGAATTTATTTACTGACATGCCGTGATCATTTAGTAGAGACATGCGTCTTTGTCTTCCACTGTTTGTTTTTTCTTATTTAGCTGAGAGCCTGGGTATTGACTAAAGCCAGACTGAGTCAAGGTGAAAGAATTCATTCCCGGCCCTGTTATGTAAGAGAAATAGCTGCTGGGATTGAGCAGAAATGCAGAAAGAATAAGTAATACCGTGTATTTTTGAAGCTTGGGTCACCTTTGGGGTCTCACTTCACAATTTGGAGCTGAACATGTTTATACAGTGTTGCAGTGCAGAAATGCTTCGCTCGGTCTATCATCAGTGGGGCATTATCTGAGAGGCCTAACTATAGAAAACAAATGTTCTTTTGCCCCCAGCTATGTGTGCTGCATTCATTTGTAGTCTTGAAAATACTTTAGACTCTTAGAGTATTTATTAAGCCTCACTGGTCGTTTGTTTCTTATATGTCACACTAGGGGCACACGGTAACTACAGTGTCCATAAAGCAGCAGCCACATTATTGTCTTTAACTTCGAGCCGGTGAAATGAGAGTGAAATGCCTCGAGGGAGGAGAAGAAAAGGGCAGCCACTAGTTCATGAAGTATGCAATAAAAAGAGTGTCTTTATTAATGACTACATGTGTATATCACAAGACAGGAATAGATGCAGAAAAAAATAATCCTTGACTGATGAGTGCGAATCAAAGTGTCCCGAATAAAGAACAAGGACCGTAAAGTTCACTGTCAGTGGCTCTATTGCTTATGTATTCCACTGAGTACATGTGAAACATGGGTTTAGCAGCCATAATAATAGACTCATGTCTGAAAGTTGTCCTGAGGCGCAAAAGCTTCATCAAAAAAAATGCAACTCGACAGTGCAGTCTTATGAAATATATATCAAATGAATCCACTTTGTTAATATGCAGATAGCGTTGTCTGTTGTCTGTGCATATAAAATAATCCCTTAAAAAGGGAGTGTGAGGGGAAGAAACACTCAGTCAGTGGTGTTAAAAAATTTGGGGTTCTGAGCATGAAGTACTAAATCTGCAGTTCGTCTAATGGCCACTTGAGGCTGTTCTCCAAAAGCGATTCAATTCACCCTGGACACCCATGTTAGAAAATACTTTACAGCTATAGAAAGCACATTTACAGTTTAATACAAGAGTGTTTCTGACTTCTGTGCTTTCTTCTTCACAAAAACTCTGAATGGGGTTAATTTTTTAATAACATTTGCTAACCTTTGGTTGTAGGTGGGATTTGAACCTTACTCTCCCAAGTGAAACTTCTGTACTCTTTATCTAAAGCCTTAAAAGGAAAACAATAGACAAACTTGAAGAAACTCAAGAGCCAACTTCAATAAATTGTCCATCAAATACTGGAATTAGGGGTAGCAACTGTGCTAATGGATTTCTGCTACTACCCACTTCCACTAATTGGACTTAATTGGATCTCTCTAATGTTGTTGGCAATTGAATTATCTGAGGAAAAATATGACCTGCTGTGATGTATAGAAGATTGTGGCTTATGAATTAAGTTAGAGTATTTTATTACAGTGTAATTAAATCTATACCGTAGATACATCATAACCATTAACACCGAAGAAGCCCTATGCCATCTCCTGACATGCACCTCCATTGCCTCGATGTAGCTCAAAACACCTTTGATTGGCCTGTTTATGCATTTTCAGCTTCTTCTTCTGCTGCCATTTTCAAAAGCGACTGTAAGATAAGGGATCAACTTGAAGAGAGAAAATCAGCCACCAAATTGGTTTTTGGTGCCAAAAGTGCACGAACAGGTATAAATGCTGGCAACGGTATTGGCTACTTGCCTTGGTTCAACACAGAAGTCTAAAATAAGCTTTAGTCTCTTACTTAGGCACCTGTTATCAGATGGCACCTTGCTAACTACACTTGCTAGTGTTAGCTTATAGCTTAGAACTCGTTGTACTCCAAACATGGTAACTTTTGCCGTCAAAATACCAACAAGAACGCTAACACTGCAAAGTTTTTTAACTGCAGAAGGTGGAAATCTAGAAAAACCCATTGCAATTAAACAACAGGGAGACTCCCTTCTCAATTGTTCTTTGCCCCTCCTACCAGTCAGTGCTAATTTTTGTCTTCAAGTGAGATTTGAACTCTACTCTCCCAAGTGAAAGTTCTGTGCTCTTTATTTAAAGCCTAAAGACAGACCAACAGGAAGATCAGGAATCTATATCCCCCTCAAAACCTTAGCTAGTATATTCTGAAAGGCTACTATATATACAAGATATGTTTTTTATGGTAGCCTATATTGTACTACATTACCATTAGTATGTTAGCATGCCAGCTCTCTACACAGTGAACTGCTAGCTAGATTAAAGCAAATTAAAATGGATATACATCACATAAACCTTCATGGAAACGATCACAAAATGATAACAGATATATGAAGGACTTGGATTTCTTTATCTTTTTTAGCAACAGAAGTCAAAAATTTAAAAACAAGCTAAACTCAGTGATCTGCTGCTTGATGTAAACTGTAAACATTTCCTTATGTGATCAGCAGCGGATAGAGAATATACTTGGAGGGTTATTGTGCTATTCCCATATGCTGTATAACTAAACACCAGCCGCTCCTACGCAGTGATGTGCTCCTGCTGCCGCTGCTGTATTCTGTGTATTCAGCAGGCAAACTCAATAACTTGAAAGGGCAACGTGAGGGACAAAGTTCCCTCCCCTCTCCCACTCCAGACTCTCTCTGCGGAGATTATTACAGAGCCCTTTAACGCCGTCTGATGAACAGTCTCTCAAATCACAGGCATCACAGGCGAACGAAAGCAGACTTAAAACCTTGACTATAAAGTATTGCCTTGAACACAATTGTCTGATGGAATCGAACAAGATTGAAAACCTAATACGTGTTTAGACGACATTTAATCAAGCGGTGGGGTGGGGGTGTATTCTGAAGGACATTATTTCCAATTCCTTTTAGAAGAAAGTAGCAGCTTGGTCTGTGCAGCTTTCAGATTTAAAAAAAAAGATGAGTTGCGGCTATTCATCTGTGATGCTAACCTCATTTTTGTCGAGCACATTAACCGCAGGTGTCTTCAGACTTCATCTGCTGAGGAGGAAAATTTTAAGGCACATGCACAGTGATATGTCGCACTCAAGTTCTTACTCTGCTCTTGTGACTTAGGATGCAATAATACCTTCATTGTCATCTAGCTAACATGTTATTAACATTTATTCAACACATCTTTTTACCAAAAGCCTGCAGTTAGTAAGTATAAAGAATTGCAACTAGGGATCACTTCAAGAGGTTTTAGGATCAATCTGAAGGGTCACAAGATGATGAATTTGTGAGGAAAAAAAAAGAAAAATATGCATCAAATTTGGGTCTTTACCATCCAGCTTTTCCTCACATATTTATTTTATCCTGTGAATCTTTGCCTCTTTGAAAACCTGTTCAAATGAAAGAAATCAAAGACCACTGGGGGAAAAATTGCCCTAAATGATCAAGCACTGAGACACTGCTGATTTTAAAGAAATCAGCCACTCTTGAATATCAGATACAGCAAAGTATTTTACTTCATTCATTTATTCAAGTGCAAGACTTATTGTAGGAAAATAACAATTCTTTTCTCAAGAATCATCAGTATATTCAAGCTCTTATGACTGAGATCCTTACTGGACTCCTGAATGACCCAAACAAAAGTGCTTACAAATCTCTAGAACCAAGCACTGTATATCAAAGTTTCTAGCTTAACAGGATTAACGTGCTGTTTATCTTGTTGGGAGTTGGAAGGTGTCAAACTGTGTCAGTTAATTGAATTACTGTGATGTAGTAACAATGCAAACAGATAAATACCCAGGTTTGCATTTTTGTAAATGGTGAAACCTCTAATAAAAATTCCACTATATTTAAAAGAAATCGTCAATCGTCAGTCCACTAAATGTTATCGCCACAGGCCAAAGACTGAAAAGTCACCAAGGAAGTAAATGTCACCTCTTAATTGGCCAGACTGGATCCCTCACACCTGAGAAGGTTGCTGGAGGAGGATAGTATGCTGTTTATTTGCAGTTTATATATCAGGAACTATTCAACAGCACATTTTTGAGAAATATTTGCAGGCAGTGAAGTGAAATATTGGAAACACTGGTTGTTCTCGATTCTGTCAGTATTTGGCTGTTTTTGTCCATACCCATGATTCTCTAGTAAAACTAGAATTTTACTAATTAAAACTCAGTCAGTCAGTTTTAGTTCGTATTACTGCTCAACAAGCACTATTATTTGTCGACTGACTTTTAGGGCCAACTGGAAGTTGATGTTAGAGGAAGTGCAGCTTTACTTGCCCAGAACTCCAGCTGGGCAATCACTGGTTGTGGGCAAGCACTGACTTGGTTTTCCTTGAAAGTCCAAAGACCAAATCTGAGTATATCTCATCAAAATCAATTGTTATTTTCCCCCCAGGTTTATATAATTTTTCTTATTTCAGAAGTTATCTTATACTGGCTACTTCTTGTCTCTTACACTTATTAAGGTACGGTGAAATGCAATATTTATAGAACATCAGTGCTCAAATTTTATTAACATGTTCAGCCTATGATGAGCGCTTGCAAAGGTCACCAGCTGCAAACACTGGAACCACTATTTTAGGTTTAAAAATGCCAGAGAGCGATGACTTTAATATCTAAACTACTGCCAAAGCAAAATTCACTTCAACTGAAAAGTGGAGTCAGATACTTTTACAGCTTTTAAAGTAAAAAATGCAGAACAAAGCGTGCATCAGAGTTTTCATCTAAGGTGATGTCTTCAAATTGTTTTCTCAGACAAACACAAAAGCTGGAACAATCCACTTTGGGGCTTTTTTCTTCTTTAATATTCAATGACATTACTATAAATTGTTGTTTTTTTTCAGCCCTTGTAGCAAAGAAGCAGATGATCTTTTTCCAGCAAATATTGATGAATAAATGTTTTCAGTAAGCATCTAATGTGAGGCTCCAAAGATCCCTTGAAAAGCATGAATAGTGTTCTAACTGTGACCAAGAGGTTGTTTTTAGCAGTTTGGCGCTAGCCAGACAGTACCTCCTTATTAGCTACTTATAACCAGTGTTTAATTATCACAGATGCCAGGAAACACCAGAAGAGAAAAGATTGCTGGCAATGAGACTGCGTGAGACAGACACTGTGTAAGGGCAAAGAGGGAGAGCACAGGATCCCCATTATACAGAAAAGAAAGCCCCTGAAGGTCACTGCCACTCTTTAGAAAACAAGAGAAACATGATTAGGGATTATGGGATGTTTTGGAGCTCTGTTGTTGAAGCTGCTTCCCTGTTGTCCCATCTGCCCATCTGATCCTCTCCCCTTTTCCTTTCTTCTTCATTCACTCCCTCCTTCCCTCTGAGTTCTGCCTTTCACGCCTCCTTAACCGTTTTACCCTGAAACATTTGTCATACCTCTATTTTCAATTCTTTCCTCCCATCTGCTCTGCTTTTTGCTCGCCAAATTCATGCTTTGATTTTCTGTTCCTTATTTTTTTCCCCCCTCTAACCTCTTTTCGCTGTCTGTGCGTCAGGATAAACTCTCTGAGGAAGTGCAGAAACAGCACGACGGCCCAGTAGAGAAGGGCTCCCTGCCGGTGACTCAAGCAGAGCTGGACCCCAGGCTGCTGCTGAATCCTGAACATGATGCCAGCCAAGCAGAAGAGGATAAAGACAAAACCAAGCTCCTGCTGGAGCGCCTCAAGGCCCTGGAGGTACTAACTCGCCACCACGCATTTCTGTTGTCTCTTTAAGTCTCTCCTGCTTTGAATTTTTCAGCTTTCTTTTTCTCTCTGCCTACCTCCTTTTCCTTCTGAGTTTTCTTTATTTGTGCCTCTGTATACTTCTTGTATCCATACTCCTAGCCACCCCTGGCTATCCTTTGTGGCCAGCCCGTCTGACAGTTGTCAGAGTCCTTGCTCGGTTGTGTCTGAAAGCATGACAGCTCATCAAATTCTCCGGTCTCCTTCATTTGGAGAGCAAAGTCATCCTGTGAGAATCGCCGCCGGGGCCTCGGGCTGTACTCCAGCTTTGGTTTGTTTTCCTCTGCGCTTGGGGATTTGAGCTATACTCCGCCACGAGCCAAAGCAGCCAAAGCAGATGCTCAGCCACAGCGATCTACACTGTTTGTTTTTTGTGCTGAAGCCACTGGACACATATCCGCTCAGATCTCTTCAGTAATTAAAGTGCTCAGGCTTAATTAAGTTAGGCTTTTAGTCTTCACTGATACACTCCTAAGTGGCTCCACGTGGCTTTTTGGTTTTGGTGTGGTGAAGGGTGCGTGGCACTCGGTCTTACCCCGAGTCATGTCACTCATTTCATATATTATCATCCCAGTGAGTGGATGTCATCCTTTGTTATTTGTCACATGCATACGGCCAGGAGCTGCCCTCTTCTACCTTCTAGTCTGGCTCAGGAGGCTATTATCCTCCGCTGCATCAGTGATAAACAGAGAGCAACACAGATTATCTAGGAGGAAGTGAAGAAGTAGAAGTAAATGTCATGACCATTTCCTAACCCCAGCCAGACACTTTGGTGCCTAAGCTTAACCCAGGGGTCTCAAACTTCCAGCTCCAGAGCCACATGTGGCTCGTTTATCCAATTCCAGCAACTCTTCTAATGACGGTAACAAAAGAATTTACTTATAAAAATGAACAAAGAGGTTTGTTGCTTTGCTTTTTTTTTAAAGATAGTTTTCTTACTGGTGTGCTTGATCTGTGCACTTCAGTTCTAATTGAAATGAAAATGTTACTTTTTACTAAAGCTATTATGCTACATATAGCATTTTTACAACTGATATCGAGATTTGGTGATTTTAAAAATCTGATATTTTATTTCTTTTAGACACACATTACAGTAAACTAATTTTCCAAACATATGTTATGCGTAATGATTAATCATTATTAAGGTAATATGATAACACAGTTTAAACATGATCTTGTTTTATTGGCACGACTCGTCATTTACTCGTTTACGCTCAGCTTGGATCATCTGGTTATTGTTTGTGCCATTCCAAACACATTAAAGAGAGGCTGCAAAGGGAGTGCCCTCTGGTGGACAAACTATGTAACATCAACATTCATAACATGGTTGAAGGGTGTTTTTTCTATCCCTGGTTTACTTTTTAAATTTTCATTTATTGGCCTTTATAAATAGCAAATCCAAAATAGCTACGTTCAGTCGATAATATCAGTCCAGCAGATATATATCAGTCATGCTCTAATGCTACATGTTTTATTAAACAAAAGCAGGCTTGAAGTAGGCCTTTATATGTCAGTAGGTTTTTTTTAGTTATTTCAAATATAAAAACTTATTATATATAACAAGTACACAGTATTGCACCTGTTACTTATGTTAATAGTGTAATATGTATTTAGCTGACTTCATTATAACCCCACACACAGCAGTGTCTCCATACAGCTTGTTTAAGCCAAACCTTGCTAAAAAGTTGCTCTTTTGATAGTAAAGGTTGTTGACCTCTGATATAAACAAACAGCGCACATATTAAATAAAAGTAGAGTGAATAAAATTGAAAATAAAAGGCAAGTTGTTAGAAAGCTTGTATAAAAAAATAGTTTTGAGCTCTGGATTAAATGGATAAAGCTTCCACCACCATTCATGCTTCATTCTGCTGAATTTGGTTGCTGTTTTCTGCCCTTTGCTTCTGTTTCACTTGGTGGAGCAACTTGCATTTAATGAGGTGGGAATTACCTACTAGATACTACAGAGTACCTTCTACTCGATTTAATGGGTTCAAAACAAGTGCTCACAAACATTTTTGTGTACACAGGCTGATAATAAAACAATCCAAATATTTCAGCAGATGCCATCTAACAATTAAAACAATCCAAATGCGTGTAGGAAAATAAAGATGACACTTTGGTAGCAAGAAAGACACATGAAGGAGAAAGAAGTGAAAAAGTAAAAAGAGTCCTCAGAGTGTATTTGATCTTTTCTTCCTTTTGTTTGTTCATCCCTGAAAGAAAACAGACCCTAATTACAGCAAAGTGGCAGATAATTGCCTGCCTGTTGCTCCTCCAGCGGTGAGTTATCTTCTGAGACTGGCGGAAAGTATGGTCAACCTGTCCCTGCGATCCATCTGGTGAAGCGCATTACGGAGACGCTACATTTTAAACAGCTTTATCAAAAGTTATCTGCCGTTTTTATTCCTTGCTGCTATGTGGGTGATGGATGCACCCCCAGCTAAAGCAGCAGGAACAAAACAGAGGCAATACATCACTGCCCCTCATTGTGCATAAACTCCACTGGCACTAAGTAAGCACCGCCCGGCTCCTGTTTCTGTTTCTCTTCATTAACTTGGCAGGCACGTGCTGCAGTCTGTAACCGGGGCCTAAATGAATACACATAGCACATTCTGGGAGAAATGGCCACTGGTCATTTTACTGATTAGGTGATAAGGGCATTAAAGCTAAAATTACCCAGGAGTCCACACCTGACAAACACAACCTGATAAATATTTACCAAAGACCCAAAAATGAAAGGGTGTGAGCCTGTTGTAAGACGTGTCAGGGTATATACATTATATATGGATTAGGTTGAGTCTAAAGATGTCTGTACTTCACATATTGGTGGATAAACTGGATAAGCTATAGGTTTGTAATTGCTGTAATATTATTTGACAGCATAGATATATTCCTATCAGCTATGTAAATTGTTTTGATTTTACCCATGCCAGTTCATTACTAGGAAGCACCAAATGACAGGGAGATAAAGTAGAGTACTAGTTGATGAAGAAAATGACTAAAGACCCAAAGAGCCAAAGAAATGTTCTCAGAGAATGTTGGGCCCCAAAAAATAGAGCATAAAGAAGAGTCTAATCCTTAAATTATTAGTCACTAAACAGTGAGAAAAAACTACTGTCAAAAGAAGGTTAGTATCCCATGTACAGTAATTTGAATTTTGCAGTTCTGTTCTGGAACATTCCCACCCTCACATTTACGTGCACTATATGAACTAAAGTGCTGGGCCACCTACAGTGGGGCAAAAAAGTATTTAGTCAGCCACCGATTGTGCAAGTTCCCCCACTTAAAATGATGACAGAGGTCAGTAATTTGCACCAGAGGTACACTTCAACTGTGAGAGACAGAATGTGAAAAAAAAATCCATGAATCCACATGGTAGGATTTGTAAAGAATTTATTCGTAAATTAGGGTGGAAAATAAGTATTTGGTCACCTCAAACAAGGAAAATCTCTGGCTCTCACAGACCTGTAACGTCTTCTGTAAGAAGCTTTTCTGTCCCCCACTCGTTACCTGTATGAATGGCACCTGTTTGAACTCATCATCTGTATAAAAGACACCTGTCCACAGCCTCAGTCAGACTCCAAACTCCGCCATGGCCAAGACCAAAGAGCTTTTGAAGGACACCAGGAAAAGTATTGTAGACCTGCACCAGACTGGGAAGAGTGAATCTACAAGAATTGTTATTTACACTGACATTATGACTGCAGGGTTGTTGTGGTGTTATAATAATACACTGAACTATGGCAGAATATGATAGCGGGATTACACGGTTTGACTGAGAAGGTTTATTGTCAAATTTTTAGTGCCTGTTGTGCTGAGTTGTACTATTTTCAATGACAGACTAATCCTTTTACCTTGATTCTTGGTCTCAGAAAGCATCATCCCTGAAAAATATTAAATTCCAGTCTCAACACAAAGAAAGTTAATTTTCTGCCACCTTCCAAGGATGTGCTCCCGCTTAAGTGTTTTCCCTGGCGTAGACACCTCAGAGCCACCGCCATTCATTCTTCTAACAGCGACATAACTTAATACAATGAAATGTTTTTACTATTTTGGCATAGTAACCTTGAAATTAAATGCTATATGATTATTTAATATAATATTTCTGGTGTCTTCTGAGGGGCAGGAATGTAAATAATCCGTCCAAACCGTGCTACCTCACAGACCTAAATGTCACATGCATGTGTTTCCATGTGCAGCCCTGTTGCTAAGAGAGCGGTGCTCTCTCTATAACTACAGCACAAAGAAAGAAGGAAACAAGCACGTCCAGTCGCCAACACTTACAGATTTGCATGCCGCTAAAACAACATAGCAAAACTGATTTTAGGCTGAGCGCGGACGTGTCAGATAGCGCCTCATGCTGAAGCTTGAGTTAAAGAAAATGAGCTGCCGTGTAGGCGAGGCTCTGGCTAAATCATCATATATTTTAAAAAGTCATGCTCATTTCTTTTTGGGTGTGAATAAATGGGAGCTGATTTATTTGTTTTTCTCCTTCTGCAGTTAATGATGGGAATATGAGTCTTCGCTGGCACGTTTGAATCATAAATTAAGTTGTGTAACAGTGATAAATACACTGTCAGGGGGATTTCCCAAGCTAAATGCATCTCTTGAAAATAGAAACTAACACATGAGATGCTCGAGCTCTCTTTAATTGCTCAGGCCATTCATTAGATTTGCACTCATAACCACACGTTGCAGGCTTTGAGGCTTTAATTAGTCAGTGTTTCTTCGTAAGACAGCATCGTTGGACTGTTTTGGGTTGTAATCATGTTTCCCATGTTTTCATCAAGGGATTGGTAGTTTCTAGTAAAGGGCAGAGGGCGAGAGAACCAAAGAGTCTGACAGCTCCTAATATGCTGCCTGCCTCTGACAAATTGGAAACTCCCAAAGATCAATAGGACGCCACCTCATCGCTTGGCAAGCAGAGGAGATATTCTTATTAGGTCCGGGCTCCAAACGGCTAGCTGCCGCCCCAAAGTTCAGCATCATAACTTCCATCCCCTTGACCTTTTTCTCAGTTGCACTTGGTAAATTTTTATTGGCTGTCCTGGTTCAAAGTTGACATATGACCTTTGTGAGGGAAGTCTCAGTCTTAGCCGGAGCAACGCTCGATTGCCGCTCCTGTCTCTGTTGTTTTTTGTTGCATCAAACATAACTGGAGTGTGTGTTCTTTGCAGGAGGAGAACTCCACCCTGGCCTTAGAGAATGAGAGTCAAAGGGAGCAGTATGAGCGGTGTCTCGACGAGGTGAGTGCACACCTTGTTTATCTTTATTCATTCCAGGCAACATTCAAGGACGTTGAGTGGCTTGTGAGATGTTTTACTTACCTTGAAACTGAATTTGTTTTGACAGAATAAAATAAATTGTATTGTGGACCTGAAGATTAAGGTTTTAATGAGGTCCTGAGCCATGCTATGGTTATCTTACAGCTTGGCAATTTACTCCAGCCACAGCTCGAGGAAGGCTGGAGAGAATTTGTTGATAATGACAATTAATTTTATTTTTCATGCAACTAAATCTTAACGCACACTCTTTTATCTGACATTTTTTGTCTTTTCACATCCTCTGTTTACTTTTAAACTGTTAAGTAACAACACACACACATTTACATAACTCTATACTATCCAGGCTAAATTAATAGAAGATATGATAGTTAATAGCAGTTGCCTTTGGAATTTTGTTATGTCTATGTCTGCACTATATGTCAAATAAAGAATCTAAAACTTCACAACTACATGGATACTACTTATTTTCCATACTTTTAGCAGCTGCAGTATACAGCGCAAGTAGCTGGTAGGCCATCAACAGTATATCTATACAATGCAAAGACAGGAAGGAAGTCAGGAGTGGGAGGAAGGACATGAGGATAGGCAGACAGTAGGTGTGACAGATGGGTTCAAATTGGAGGTTGGGATACCTGATAACAATTTTCTAAAATTGAAATTCAAAGACACAACTAGAATTTCACTCATCAAAACTGAAGCATAGACTTCTTTACAGGCTGTCAATACAGTTACCCACACATTAAGCCGTATTATTTGACAACTAGTTGCAAAAAGCACCAACACCACAAAGACAGCAGCACAAAGTATCTGAAGTTAAGCCTAGTGGACAGCTAGCAGCTAGGTAGGCACTTACTTTTTCCTTAAACAAGGCCAGTTTGCAACAATGTATAATTTTAGCAATATGATAATACCCCATTCTTTCTTTCTTTGGTTTTGTTTTTTCATGCTATAATTCACCAGGACCTAATGCTAGCTAGTGTGAATAGCATAATACACAACAGAAATGCGGTAATCAGTGCTAAAAATGAAATACAAAGTAACTACTAGAATTTCACTCTTTGAAACTGATGCACTGAAGTACAATTATACACACATTAAACTGTAAAAGGCACTAACACTACAAGTACAGTCACTCAAATTAGCTTAAGCTAAGCTTATCGTACAGCTGTTATAGCATACGGCTGGTATCCATCCCTCTGTAAAGTTCTCATGGAAGCTGAAATTATTTATAGAGCCAAAAATGTTTCTTGCATTAGCCTTTAAACATGTTTATTTCTGCTGTAAAGTTGGTCATTTTAATATGAAAATCTGTGGGGATTGACTCGTACTTGGTGCCAGCTTCAAGTGGCTATTTGAGGTACTGCAGTCTCTTTTGCTCCTTAACTACTTATTTTTCCTTCTTTTTGTAACTGTAACGTGCAGTTAAGTGCTTGTGATGCAAGTCTGAAATGTCAGCTTGTATGTAGCTTCATCCTGACATGAACCGGTGTTTGTGCAGAAATAGTTTACATAACAATATCACTTCTGTGCCCTCTGGTTATTTTGCGAGAGCTTGTTAAGCACTGTTTAGGGAGCCACATGAGGGAAATGAAGCAGCCCCGGCTCTGGGCTGTGCCTGCTTGCTGAATCACTCCGGGATGGAGGGAGCGCTGCTAAAGGAAAGCATGTCCAGCAGGGACAAGTCGCCCAATTTGTCCTCAAACCGACAAGCTCAGCAGACTGAGCAGATCTGCCGCAGGGTGGGAAAGACTGGTGAGAGCATAAGGGGAAATAAAAATGAGAGGGGGTGAGGAAGAAGATCGAAAGTTAAAAAAAAGAAAAGAAAGTACAGGGAAGCGGGGCCATTGTTATACAGAGCTGCATCCTCGATGGATTGCATCTGGAGTAAACTCAGCCTTCGTCTCCTTTCTGCTTCCCTGCTCTCACTAAGATGGCTCAGCTCGGTTTTGTTGTGTTTATTTGTCAACTGTTTTCCTTTGTGGTTGGCTTTCGGTGGAAGGACGGCTTAGCAATAATCCTGTTTTAATGATGGAGACTGTGTGCGCCCCTCTAACTAGAACAACAGTGTAACAGAAGGGATGATTATTTTTTATGTTACACCAGCTGTCTGTCTGAAATTTTAAAGTCGTTTGTTGTGTTTGTAACTTGTTTCCAGGACGTACAGCATGCGCAAGTTCACATCCTCTGTCAAACACCATTAACTCCAGTTTGTTTGATCACAAGAGGCAGATCTGTAACTTTGCGGTTCCACAAGCAGGGCTCATTTTGCTATGTTTACCCCATCTCTCTTCGTTCAATAAACAAGAAACGAGGCGCTCGAAAGAGCCGATGGGGCTTCACGGGGTATTAATGAGCAATCAATGGACAGTAATCGTAGACGCTCCTCCATCGGCGTTGCGGTCTGAAGTGCGAACCGCTCTGAGACCAAGACCCGGGCACAGCAGCACTTAAGTCAGGCACACCTCTGGTACCCTACATCAACCAGGCGGTGTCAATACCACCATTATGCTGTGAGAGCTCAATATTGTCTGCACGAGTGTGTAAAAGAGACACACACACCCAATAGCGGAGGAAAAATGTGCAATGTATTGTGCCACAGCGGTTGCTTGGGCTCATAATAATTCATCCGAGGTGTAAATTGGCTGAGGAAGTACAAACACTCCAAAGTGCAGTGTAAGGGTTTCTATAGAGGCCCGGAAGGGTCATATGAGGTCAAGACTTTATTATGGTGCCAAAGCAGATAAATTATATTCTGTGATGTTCTCTTTTTCTCTTTAAGGTTGCCAATCAAGTCGTGCAGGCGCTTCTAACCCAGAAGGTTTGTTACTTCTTTTTCTCTTAATGCATGCTAATATAAATTAATGGATATACTCTCAGTGTTGTTCTAACTGTCATGTGAATTTTACACTCAGACGATGCTCTTTCTATTTGTCCTCCTGAATCAGGATCTAAGGGAGGAGTGTCTGAAGCTGCGAACAAGGGTTTTCGATCTTGAGCAGCAGAATCGGGCACTCGGTGTTTTGTTCCAGCAGAAGATCAAGCCGGCCTCGGACCTGCTTCTCCAGGTACGCTGCCCTTCCCAGAACCTACCCTCCTGTCGATACGCTACATTGTAGGTGATCAAATAGCAGGAAATGTATCGTTAAACAGCTAAAGAACAAAAAACAAAGAAGAACAGAGTGTGTTCCTCCCCTCAGCCGACCAGACCGGTCACTGCAGATGGCCGCCCCTCCCTGAGCCTAAGGGAGGGGCGGCCCTTTCTTCCTGTTAAAAGGGAGTTTTTCCTTCCCACTGTTGCCAAGTGCTTGCTCACAGAGGGTTGTCTAATCGTTGGCCTTTCTCTATATTTTTGTAGAGCCTTTGTCTTTCAATACAAATCACCCTGAGTTGAATGTTGTTCTAATTTGGCGCTATATAAATAAAAGTGAATTAAAAATACAGAGGAGTTCATGGTCCACTCAGTGACTGTAAGATGTCCAGGCCCTGTGGCTGATGATCAGTTAATCGAGTGCTTTAACCCTCTTAATGTGAAGCAGTAAGGAATGATTTAGTTTGCACAGAGCTGCAGAGAGTCCTGTCATATGCAAGCTTTGCAGGATTATACCATCCTCAGCTACTCCTTTGCCAGTATACTTTTATTTTAGTCTCGCTACTACCACATAAATGTTTTAGTAATGCACAAAGTACTGTATATAGATATTTGAACTCAAACATAAGTCTTTGCTCTGGCTTCTCCAATCGAAACAGCCACCTCCTCAGGTTACTGGAACAGTTTATGTCTCCTGTTGCTCAGACAAGTTACTGACAAACTTGAGCAGCAGACTGAATATCATATTATATAGTTAAATTTTATAGTTATTAATATTATTTATCCTGAAAAAAATTCAAGGTATACATTTTAAAAATTAAGTAGGTCAGTTTGGGGTCCTATAGTTTTAGCCTGAGTTTGCATATCCACACTCAAACATGGTGGAAAGAACTCCAGTAAACGACCCTGAGTACTTCTTCTCGTGCATTTGAAGTTGTTTTCCATTTTTAGTTGTTTTTAAAGAGCTCTGGGGTCCTAACCAGAGAAAGAGACTGCTAAAAAAGAAAAGAAAAATAACCCGTAAACACTTTGATTGTTTACGGGTTTACATCTTTCTCTCTAAGCTTACATATGTGCCGTTTTAATGTTACTTTTATAGTTTTATGTTGAGGATTCACATGAAATCGGGACTCCCTGCAGCACGGCTTTCTACATTAAAAACTATGTTGGAAGTCTTTAAATGGCAGATACAAACTTAAAACATCTCCTGCCTTCCCCCAAAGTAGAGCGTCTTCCCTGGTGCCCTCTTGAAAACAAATCCCCTCCTCCAAATCAAAATAACACACTTCACATAAGTTCTGAAATGTTTGCAGCGCCAGGGCTATAATCTCCAACTCTCCACATCCCACAAACAACAAAGATTTGAACCCTGTAGCCATCACCAAACATCACTGTACTTGTACACCCCATAAACCCTATATTCTCTCAGCAGGAGTGGGTGTTTTTTTCTCTCCTTTTGGTCCCAATTTACTGAAAAGTGTCCATGTGTCCATCCAGCAGACTCTGTAAGGTGTAATTATGAGGCTGACGGACCTGCGGCTGTGTTTTTACGCAGCTATTGTCAACCATGATACGAAGTCAGAGGGGAATATGATGAGTTCGGAAAGTGGAATGTCACATAATTGTGGCTCTTTCGGGAGAAAGAAATTATGGGCAAAAACAGGAAGTGGTACAAATGAAGAAAATGAATTTAAAAAATGAGGAAAGAGAACTAATGTGGTTGTAGGCGTGTTAGAAAGATCCTTTCAAGGTACTTCTGCTGCCATTAGCAGACAGGCAGGAATATTGTTAAGTGAAAGTGCAATATAAAAGGCTGGAAGAAGGATACTGCCGACACCGCAGCGGAAACCAAAGAGGTGCAATCTCACTGAAGAGGTGTATTAAGGCACTCAGGAATATGATAGAGTTTGAGATCAAGTTCAGTCGTTATTGAGATCCCATGCGGGTAATTGGATTGCGGCGTATTGCTTTATATCCCTCTGGCATCCAGCCGAGACTGTTTTTCTTCTTCTCTTTCCGGCGTGATTCAGATATTATGAGTACGTACGTAACGTAAGGCAGGTGAAAGGAACATAATCATGTAACGTGTGCGTGCTACAGTGCTGTTTGTGTGGTTTCTACAAGCGTGTGGGTTTTTGTCCGCTCATTATTTAATAGCAACATTTTAACCATCATCAGGGTGATTCAATGTAAGAGTTAATCATAATGTGATCACGCCTCTCCGGATGCTCGGCGTGTCCTTTATGAGGGCTTCAGTCGTGTGGGAGAGCTGTTAAAAACAGCTATATTTATCCACGTCACAAAGGCTCGGGACTTCCTACGGAACAGCTATATTTTTATCTGTCGTGCTTTATAATTATTATTTTTATACTTATTTTTTGCAGAGTTAGATAAGAAGATCGAGGCCACTTTCTTATCTTCCTGTTCATTGTAACACTACAACCATAGACTCTATAAAAGACGGATTTAGCTGCTATTCATGGGTAGTAGTGGTGGTGAAGTCACTCTGAAGCCTCGAGCTGAGCATTTCCTGTTGTTCTTATCTTAGTGTTTTCAAACCAGATGTGACGGCTGAGAGGCAGAACCAACCAAAAAATGAGTACAATGAGCATAGCCAATGAGCATACCCTTGATAATCCTCCTTTCTGACTCCAATAGTGACCATGAGCTACAAAATGAACTTTGTGTTTTATTTAATAACGCCTGAAATCAACAATTGAGGCCATTAAGTCATCAAGAAAGTGTTTATGGAGGTCCCAGAACAAGGGAGCTTAGACTTCAATGCTTTACCTCACCCCCAACCGATTGTGACAGATGGCTGCCCCTCTTTGAGCCTGGTTCTGCCAGAGATGTCTTCCTGTTAAATGGGAGTTTTTCCTTCCTGCTGTTGCCAAGTGCTTATTCTTAGGGGGTCGTTTGATTGTTGGGGATTTCTCTGTATTGTTGTAGGATCTTTAACTTACAATATAAAGCACCTTGAGTTGACAGTTGTTGAGATTTGGGGCTACAGAAGAATTGAACTGAGCTAAATTGAATTAAATATACAACCAGAATGTCATGGGCTGGTCTCTGACCCAGCACTCCAAGTTCATTATGTATTGTGTATTTCTGATACACAATACACACGGTCTGCCCCCGCAAACCGTGACACAGAAGTCTGTGTGTTCTTCTTATAAAGAATACAGGATTTGTGTTAGCACAAAGCTCACAACTACACTACAAAATGTTACAATTATTAAATATGGTCAAATGGAATATACTGCATTGGTACGCATTCACTTTATATCAAACACATTTTCCTTATTAATTAAACATTTGAATGATTTGATTGTTTCTTCTGACTGGTCTCTGGGCCTATGTTACTGGGGCCTCAAATAAAAGCTAGTTGATAGTTAGCTTAACCCTCTCCTCCCCCTTTTTAATGGATTACACATTTAGTGAAGTTGAAAAATGCAAGAATCGTTTTTTTTTTTAACATAGCTTCTCTGTTTACCGCTGACGTGCTAAGCACAGTGAACCAATTACACATTCATCTTATAGAAATGAGGCTGTCATTATTTAAATAGTCATAAAAACTCAGTTGAGAAGTCTGCGTAAGCGTACAGCAAAGGATAACAAACGGGTTTGGATTTTGTATCTGTCAGATTACAGATAGATTTTGTGTTCAACTTACTAAACCAATTGAGCCGAATTACTTAGGAGAATATGAAAATAACCGGGGTGAGTTTTCATTTCTTTTCTGTCCTACACCCTCAAGCCGAGGGAGACTTAATCACCGATATGAGTGTACAGTTTCCCATTTAGCTCTGGACCTTTTTGCTTATCAGTAATTAAACGTTCCCCAGTTCCCCGTGGGCATCTTGAGTTCCTCTGATAAAGAACCATAATGCATTTGATAGTGAATGCACCGTTTGTGCACCTTCGCTGCCTTCAGCTGAAATGTTTTTGTGTGAAAATGCCACATATTCATTTCTGACATCCACACGTTAAAAAAAACAAAACAAAAAGCACGATTTCTCAAACACTACGACCAGCTATGTGTAGTACCAGCCACTAATGCTGCTCGGGCTAGTAGCAATTGAGTCACCCATTACTGGGACAAATGCTTGTTTTCTTTTTCAAACCTAAGAGCCCCAAGGACACAACATGCATGCCGTGACCTCATTACTGCTCATGCGGTTGTGAAAAAGTTGTAAAAACTTTGTGCACAGAAGAAAAAAAGAAGTTTGCAATAGCAGATTTAAACAAATACTCTTCCACAAACATAAATAACAAAATTTGCAGAGTGGAGCTTTAGAATGTCTGTTTTTAATGGAGCTCCATATATCTTACTTTATTATATTGCAGCGGAGCATTTGTCTTAGTTCCAGCTACAGTGCAGTGGGCAGTGTGTAGCTGGAAATTTAGGAAGAGCCTTTGTGATGAGTCAGACGTATAGATCAGGTCATGCAGGTGAGCATTATGTGGATGAGTAGGTGTGTGTGTGTTGTGAATTAATCTGCGAGCACGGCTTTTCTCTCTTGTGCATGTGTGGGTGTGTTGCAGGACGATGTGTTTTTGACAGCGAGTGCCAATACTGACGTATTTGTTTGGAAGCTATTCTGGGCCGACGTTCATTATCTTGAAATATGACCACTGTCAAAGCAGAAAAAAAGCAACAACAAAAGAACAAAAGCAGGAAGGCTTTTTCATTCTGTTCAGTATATCTTGAAAAGTTTGGCTCCCAGACTAATGAAGTTACTCCAGACGTTAGCTAATAGTCAATAAAAGGCCATTATTTGCATGATATATTGCAGTCATCCCTGCATTAATGGGACAATTTACATTTTTGACTTTGAATGTCAAAAAGTTCAAGAAGCGTACAGTCGGCCTTGTCAGCTAGCATTTCCTTCACCTATCTTTCCCCCCGTGACCCTGTGACACTATTGACTGAATCGTTGATGAGGATGCTGAGGAGGTGAAATCCAGCACCGTCATGATAAGATCAGAGCCCCCCGTGACAGCTCAGCCACTCCCATCCTGTGTGGACAGCATCCAGGCCCGGCTGTGTCGCATCAGAGCTTCATACACAGTTATCTCTGTGGACAGAATAAAATAATAACCAAACAATGTTTATTTAGATGGTGCCTTTTACAAGCAAAAACTGCAAAGTGCTTTATAGACAATAATCTAAATTTTAAATAAAAGGAAAAAAAAGATCAACTACAAATACTGCACATTTATTAAAACATGGTTAAGAGCACTGTGAGGGTCAAAAGGTTTAATGTAAAAAAACACAAAAGCAGAAATGGAACGAAGCCGGTTGCTAAAATAGCAACGAGTGTTTAGCTTGACGCAGGTCGGTCACTGTGACCTCGGCAGCTCAAACACCGCCTGTTCTTAGTGAGATTATGTTTAACAAAAGATCATTTTAGATAAAAAAAATGTTACAAGGAAAGTGTGAAGACCTAAAAGATTAACAAAGTAAAATGACAATTACAGAACCTGAACTGTATTTTTTTTTACAAGACAAAATAAACTCAAATCCTGTAGATGTTTTTTCATCTGTCTTAAATTAAAACTTTTTCGATATGGTTTTGATGTTTTCTTGATGAAACATTGTTTGAAAAAGGTTGTCAGCTTTGTTTTTTAACAAACCATGTGAAAAAGACAGCTTTTTATTTAAAAACCTAAAACTATCACATATCGTAATAATAATAATACTAATTAGGCCGTTTATACTGCACAATAATTAAAACATGCTTAAGAGCAGTACAAGACAAAGTTTAGACACAGAAGCAGAGCTGTCACAAACCCGGGTACAGAATTACCCGAGTCCTAGCTGGCACAGGCTGATCACTTTGACCTCAGCAGCTCAATCGCCGTCTGTTCTTGGGAACAGTGGGATTGTGTTTAACAAACAGTTACAAACAATTTTACAGAACCTGAGACTGCACTGTATTTTGACAAAACGAAATGAACTCAAATTTTATTTTATCACGTTTAGTCCTGTAGAAGTTTCTAATAATTTGTTTTTCAGCAGTTTGTCGGCTTTTAAAAAGAAAAGTGAAAATTGCATATTTTTTATAAGACAAGAATTTGCTCTTTTGCTGTTAATGCCTTAAACACCACACATACATACTGTGATGTAGTATAGTATAATATATTAATATATAATAATATATAATATATTATAAATGTATATATATAATATATGTATATATAATATATATATGTAATATATAGTATATTAATATATAGAATGTATATGTATATATATATGTATATGTATATGTATATATATGTATATGTATATGTATATATATGTATATGTATATGTATATGTATATGTATATATATATATGTTATTAATATATGATATTTATTATTATATTATATATATATTGTGTTAAGAAGTGATACTGTACATTGAGCCCAAACTAGTACAACTGCACGATATTACTACTACTACTTTTGCCTTTATTTACTTTTGAAAGAATGTGATCTCCTAAGCTTTCCAGGGCACAGAGCAAACCCTTTATATTTATAAATCTGATGAGTGTTCGGCAAGATCATTTTAAAAGTTAAGTTTTGATCTGTAACAGGCAAAAAAAAGATAGAAATCCTCCCTGTAGCTTAACTGTTTTTGAACTCACTGAAACCTGAACACGTTAGAAAGAACTCTGTGCCAGCATCTAAAGCCGGATGCTTTTATAAATCTTACAAATAGTAAAGAATACGGTCCTTATACAGTCTGTTCAGAGGAAACATGGAAAATGGGCATCGATCTGTTTCCATGGCAAATTACCACCTTGTCGCTGATGGTACAAAAATCAGTCACGCTAACAGCTTATTCACAGGCTTTCTCTAATACAAAAAGCAGCTTTTCTTTTGGATTTTTTTTTGTCTGAAGTTGGAGTGAAAAATCCACAATGAATGCAACACAGGTTACTTGTTCTAAAGAGACAAAAGAAAGCAGGGAAGTTTTGGTGTCATTAGAAGTTGTGTATTTTTTCTTTTCACAAGTCGATATACACAGTCGGCAAAGAGGTTTATGGAAGTAAATAAAATGGAAACCATTTTTATTTTAAAACGTTCATGCCATTGAAGGAAAATTTGAGGAGATCATTTTCAAAGCTCAGTTTCCATTTACCGTGGGTGACTTTTGCTTTTATAACACCCAATTTATTTTCTTCAAGGGGTGCACAGCATGTGAGTCGCCACTTACTTTAATGGTAGAAACTGAATTTTAAAAAAAAAAAACAAAAACAAAAGAAAACAAAGCGACCAGTGCGTAGAAGCACATGCATATACTCCCTAAGTGAGCATTAGTTCTACCCTTGGCAGGAAATGCAGCACAAGATCAAGTGTTCTGTTCCTGCAGATTTCTAGTTTAAGTTAATTTGAGCTCAGGGAATCCAGTGTAATTAAGTTCTGGGATTAATATGTGGAAATGTATTTGGTTTTGTATCCTTCCCTCTTAAGCATGAGAGTGAAATAACAGAAGAGACTAGCACAAATAAAAAAGGGGAAAAAAATCAAAGCAATCCCAAACTCCCTGATGCAATTATTTCCTATTCACATTATTTTTTTATTTTTTTTCTGGACGATGACATTAATGACTTTGAGAGAGAGAGGGATGAATCGGGGCTCCGTTTGGCACCAGTGGAGGGAATCAGATAGGTAAAAATATTGCTCCGCCTCAGCCTACTGTGCAGTTGTTTGAGATTTTCAAAAATGAACTCAAATGATTACTTTGTTTAATTGCTTTCTTTTAATATTTGTCATTCGAGGGAGATTTAGACAATACTCAGATCAAAATCCTCACGCCCAGCTGAGATGCTACAAAAAGGAATTTCAGGCTATGCTGTGCGCCGCATAAAGTACTGATAAAGATCTTCATACCAATTATGCTCTTCTGTCATCTCAGATGCTCCTCTTGAGATCCCCCAAAGTCAAAAATTCATCTTTGCGTGTACTTCCCGTTTGACTTTCAGAAACTCCACTCTCGGATCATGGATCTGTCTGCAGCAGATTTGCTCCTGGAGCCAGAGAGAAGCAAGGCTTTCCTACTTTCCAGGAATACAGACTCCCCCTCTAATGTAAGCCTAATGGGAAACATTAAATGTACTTTTTTTCCCCTACCCATATAACTCATCCAAGTGTTGCAGCACAACTATACCCCCGTCTCCCATCAAGAAATCATTCCAAGATATTAAAATACAGATCTAAAATCCAAATGCGTGACCCCTCCTGTGCTCTCAGCAGGAAAAGCCAGCAGTATCACTTGGCACTAAGAGGGATATATCCTTGTCATATTACCAGAAAACCATCGATTGAGACTCGTCTTCAGTAAAAATGACTCCACAGGACACTCTGGAACATTAATCATCTTATATATTATGCATTAAGGCCCGAAAATGAGTTTGCTCCATTTCCTTTGGCCTTTTACCCCTCTGAGGATGCCACCTGATAAACCCTAATGCGTGCCATCAGAGCAGAAAAAGAAAATGAAATAATAATGGCTGAAAAGCGAATTATGAATCATCTTGTAATCAGGATGAGCCAAACCTCTACATATCCTTAAATAAGCCGTGTTAAGTGACACGGCTTATATCTCACGAATGTGAGATTAGAGAATTGAAAACTGTGCCATGGATGTATCAGATTCCTCATCTTAAACTCCACTGTCATTGTCAGATTGTCTTCAGGGAAATGCTAATTGGACAAACATCTGCCGCGGTGTGGTGACTGCACACGAAAGATGATTGATATCGGTATTTCTTTAAGTTTGAAAAGTGCAGTACATCGACAATTTAGTCGACTTTTCTGTGATATTTGATTGGGTGTCTCAAGGTTTTCTTCAATACCTTTCATCACAAAATCAACAGCATGATGGCAATTAGATATGCAGCAGTACCCAACACATAAACACTTTTGATGTCTAGTCGGACTAAAGGAAAGATTATGTAACTCACAAACATTGTTTAGCGGCCATGTAAGTGACTCCATCTTAATGCTATGTCGCCTCTTTTCTGTGTCATAGGAGGTTCAGTTGAATGGAAAAGCAGGTCTCCCTGTGGCCAAATGTCTGAGCCAGCTGAGCCTGACAGTGCCAGCCCCCGTGTACCCACGCAGCAGCTGTAGCAGCAGTGAGCTGTCGCTGTCGAGCGCGTGCAGTGAATTCTCCAGCGGCTCGTACACCTGGAATGATGGACGCTCCTGTGGGAAAATGGTAAACCACCTCGCTCATCAGGCTCATTAGGGGTGCTTTAGTCTTTATTTCGAGACCTTAATTAATCCCACAACCTTCATGCATGAGTTTGCTGATTATGTTTCCAATTGGAGTTTAAAGCTTCTGAGAAAATGTGGGATTTCATATTTAAAGACAGTCCTGCACCATCCTAATTCCAAGCATTTAAAATATGTGGTGGAATAAAAATAGCTTGCACGCAAAAGCCAACATTCTCAGTTCTATTGCTTTACGTACTAAAAAATATGTGTTCTTACTACACAGAGACTGACTCTGCCTCCTTTCTCTTTCCCAATTAGTCATCTCTGACGTGGGAGAAGAGGCTGAGTTTGGGTTCGTCAGCCCCTAGTAATATCTGTGCTGCTCAGGAGGAGCACCTCCCCACAAGACGTAAGGAGAGCCACATACTGGAAGGACTGAGAAAGCTCCAAAGGAGGAAACACAGGAGCTCCTCCTGTTCCTCCAAGGTCTCCAAGTCAGGCTACAAAGACTGCATGAACTCCAATGAGGGCATCTACTCACTGGGCATCAAGAGTAGCAGTAAAGGGGTGTCTAGGCCTACCCATGTGGGGAGAACTGCTCAGGGAAAAAAATTCGCTTATGATTCTGATGATGCAGATGATGAACTGGCACATTCTAGTTGTAGAGATAACATCCCCACCAAGGACAACTGGTTTCACTGTAAGAAGCTCTCACACAGCATCTCAGACAGTTTATGTAGCTGGGAGGGAACGCAAGAAAGCGGAGGTGACACTATCTCAAGTCCTGTGGCTACTAAACACCCTTCTGGGTATGACTCAAAGGAGCAGCCTGAAAGACTCATGAGTTTTATTAACAGCCTTCTCCCTGAACGAGGGCGGATATCAGCTTTTACGAGACCATCGAAGCTGCACCTCACCCCTACTGAACCAGAAGTTCCCCGTCTGTCTGATGCGGATGATCTGGAGGAGTTAAAGTCTGAGTCAAGTGACATCCGAATGTCCTTTAGCCAGCCACCAGAGCAAGCCGAGAGGGACTCGAAGAGGTTGTCAAGAGATGCTGCCAAGCTGATTACACAGCAGTGCTTGCGGAGAGACCAGGTTCGTACCCAGTCTGCAGATGGAAGACCCAGGCCTTTCAGCCTGATTAAGGAGCCCAAAGTGGCCAAATGCACCCAATCTGAGGAGAGCGTGTTGGCAATATTTGATGCAGAAGGAGAGCCTATTGAACTTTGTGCAGAGAAACTTGCAGCAGCTGCTGGGACTCAAAAAGACATTCAGGGTAGCAAAGTAGTTCCTGACTACACAAAACTGGTGCCCCAAGAGAGGCCAACAAAGCAGAAACCCTCAAAATCAAGAAACTACAGTGTTCTTGAGTCTCCAGAGAAGCCGTCTGAATATCAGATCAGGACCCACAAGCCAAGGGAGCAAAGCAGTAGCAGGGAGGGAAGTGCAGAGAGGCTATCAATGCAGCTGACTCCACAACGGAAACTTATCAAACCACCAAGCAACCGAGCTAGTAAAGGCCTTTCCATCCCTCCCATGAATGATGCTGCTTGTTCCACTAAGTACAGTAGTTCAAAGATACCTGGTAGTAATAAACCTTCAGGATCCCCACTGAGATTATCTAAGGGCTCTGCCACTGAACCAAGTAACAGCGTGAACTCAGGACCCCCTGGGCAGGAGAAGTCCCCCTCCTCTCCGACAGTTAAAATGTCCAGATTCATCAAGACACCAGGAACCTGTATTCAAAGCCCAAAAGCGGTGAACTCAAAGCTCCCCAGCAGGGCCGAATGGAATAAGGGCGCCTCATCGAGTTCCCCTCACCTCTCAAGGAGACACCTGGAGTATGCTGACAATGGCGAACAGCCAACCAGAGACAAACACTGTGAAAACAGCAAAAATAAACTCAGGTCCCCCTCTCCTCCCCCTCCCCCGGGCCGCACCACCTCTTTACTGATCAGACCAAATTACGAGGGGTCGCCAACCACTGTGAGGGGTCCACCCCCAAGTTACCACACCTCACTTTTACCAAATATGCAATCAACGCTACCCATCAAGGATAAAGACTGTTTAGACTTGGATGCAGGCTACGGGACTGCACTTGCACCTCAGAAACTGGTTGACAAAACCAGTCAGCACCTTCAAAAGTCCCCTGCCATGACTAAGACACCTGCTAAAGGCGATTCCAAGCGGATGACCACGAAAGACTACCTCCCTTCTGCAAACTCAGGGTGTGCTCGAGAACCTGAAACCGCACCTAAAACCTCGAAGAATGTCCCTCCTCCCTACAGTGCCCTCAGAGGGTCCTCATTTCAGAACTCACCTGCAAGCAAAAAAGGATCTGCTAATAAAAATGTCCATCAGTCAGTGCAGAAGACCTCTATTAGTTTACCTGTTTCACTTCAGGACACACCTCAAGGTCAGGCAGAGCCACAAACTGGCAAAGCTTTAGACAGCTCTATTATTATGTCCCCTAACCTAGCAGAAAAAGCCTCAAACACTCGCATCCCAATGGGCTTTAAGGCATTTTTAAAGTCTCCTCCTAGCCATAAAAATAGTCCCTCTATACCAGGCAAACAAGAGAAAGATCATATCAACTCAGTCTCCAAGGAGACTGTGACTTCAAATGCTTCTGCCCAGTGTGACAACTTGCAGACAGAGTACAATATTGATTCGCCATCCAAGATGTCTGTTACAGAGGGGAAAGGTGAAGTCCAGTGTAGGTTACTGGAAGAAGAATTACAAGCTCTCATGGTGCCAGAGGAAGGGGGTGTTTGTGATAATGGGAAAAGGAGTAGTCAGCTTTTTGGCAGATCCATATCTATTGCTGCCAAACCTCATTTAAAGCCAGCGTTAGGGATGAACGGGGCAAAAGCTCGTAGCCAGAGTTTCAGCACCAACTACATTGAAAAACCAAGCATCAATTCCTTAGATGGGCCGGGAAAAATCAGAACTCAGATCATTACCAACTCAGGTGAAAGGGGGAACTCTCTGTCACGACAGAGTTCCTTAGAAGCGACCTGTGCTGGGTTAGCAGAGAGCCCTGTTCATTCTCCAAGGACAAGACTTAGCCACTATGGAGGCATGACAGGGTCAAATAGTCACGGCATCCTCCCTGACAAAGCTTTCAAATCGGGTTCTAAAGTTGAGGGGTCACAGGGCACAGGGAAGGGGGAGGCAGTCATGTCACCTTCTCACAAAGTGGTTCGTAGTTTACCCATCAGTGATCGGACTGGTTTAAACATCCGTAAGCCATCGAAGGTTGCCTCTCATCCACAGTTTCATCCTCCGTCCTCTTGTGTCTACGGCTTGGAAAATCCAGTTAGAGAGACAGAAGACAAAGCAGCATTCCCTAATGAAGCAGACTTCAGCAGGGAAGTCAAAACCCAGGCGGACTCCCCAAACAAACACCCAGATATGGAGGAGAAAAAAATCAGCCCAACAGTCACCACTATTGAAGAGAAAGTCATGATGGGAATTGAGGAGAACGTGCAGAAATGTCAAGAACAGGAGAAAGTCGCTGCCACCGAGGCCAAACAGAAGACGGGTCCCTCTCTGGCAAACTGGTTCGGCCTCCGTAAGAGCAAACTTCCAGCTCTGAGTATTAAAAAAGCCGACTCTCCCAAGGGAAAAGAGGAGAAGAAAGAGCTGAAGATCGGATCAGTTCTTGGAGGCAAACAGATGAAGTCTGACAAGAAGAAGGATAAGAAGAAAAATGATAATCAGCAGAAAGAAAGCCAGGAGGTGCAGGGTCTGTCTGAGATGAACAACAAGCTTAGCTCCATTATGGACCACTGCAACAATCAGATGGGTCAGATTGCCAGTCAGATCCAGTGCACGACGGCCTTTATTGGAAAAGACCAGTTCGTGAAAGAGCTTCTTGGCAGGTGAGTTAGCAACACCTTTGTCATTAAGAAAATCAAGTATTATTATCCTAATTGATCGGATGCTGTGCTGATTATTTCCTGTCACCGAGCTTTCTCAGAGATGCCTTTCTACCAAGTGAATCAACGATTCAGAAGCAAAGTAGTAGCTCTATTACATTAAACATGAGCAATCCCTACATTAAGCTTGTGTGTTCAGAGAAACACAAACAGCAGCTGTCTGTTTGAGGTGTGACTCTTCACTAGTGAGCATAAACAGTTTGGGGATCAGACACATAGTCAGCAACACTCAGGATTATTGTGTGTTTAAGCCACAGTCATCTACTCTCTTTGCTCATTTTCCTCTTCAAAAACCCAGCTGACAGATTTCAAACACTTGTGAGGTACCACTTCATGCAGGTTGTTAACCGTGCGATGACATTTCCATGTGTGTCTGTGTGCGTGCACACATGTGTTTACCTGCGCGTTCATGAAGCGAAAGAGTGGGTCAACGCAATTTATCAGGAGTCTCGCTTTCTACCTGGTGAGTTGATAAAGGAAGTACTCGGCACACAGACATGAAAAACAGATCAAATCTTATTTCCTGACAGGACCGCTGTGAAGGGCAACTCCGTGGCCACATCGCCGCCTGGGATCTCCACGCCCAAAAAACACAGCGAAACGAAGGGAGATATGGAGATCTGTTCAGATACTGCTGTAAGTAGACAAACATGCACTGCGGACTTTGTTACAGTTTTTGGGGCAAGCTTGTTTGCAGTGCACGCATACGTGCAAAATTCCCATAGGTTTTCACACTTGTACAGTATGAACATGTTCACAAACAGATCCACAACACCTCTGCCTCTTCACCATCACATCCCCTGAAGGCTCAATATTGATTCGCATTGTGTTCTGACTCAGCCTACAATTCATCGCCTACTTTTTTTATTATCAAACCCAATCCTGTGTTGTTGTTGTCTCCACAAAGCTGAAGGTTTTTAAGCTATATCTCGCATAGAGGCAGCCATCAGGCTGTGGATGTAGTACAGACTTAAATTAGGCTCCTATCAGCTGTTTGATTTTGTAAATCATATCAGTGCACTTTGTAAGCAAAATGCTAAAATCTTGACCTTGTGGGTTTATTCTTTATTACCTGTCAGTCAAAATGCCAAAATATGACGGAGAGCCTGAGAGCTTGAGAGCGACTGAAAGAAGGGAGACAGCAATAATAAAAGAAACTGAAAGGAGCAGTCTGAACAGGGGGAAAGAATGACAGTCTCACCGCATAATGTAGGAAATTTAATCCAGATGATGTGAAATTTTGATAACATGGAGGAGCCCCTTATCGCAGACACTCAATTTGACAAAAGAGCCATTTAATACCATCCTCCAAGCTTTCCGTCTATCTTCTCCCCACAGAAATACAACAAAAGAGCCACACTTTATGACCTACAAGCTCCTTTTACACCACCCCCAAAACCACATTTTTAAAATAACCTAATTAAAGTATGGCAGAAAGTCTGTGACAATTACCTTACTTCTTTCTGAACAAAACTTTCAACACATTTCACAAAGCCAGAAGCTTGTCCAGTCCTCTGGAAAGTCATATAGTACGTGAATCGGTTTAACCGATCCTTTTCATCCACAATTTTCTTTTGCACATTACCTAAAAGAAAGCCTTTTAAATTGATAAATGTTAACAGCTTATACAAACAAAGCTGCATCTATACGGTCTAATATATCCAGAAGGTATCCTGGGGTATGTGGACAGCTTAGCTCAACTCATCTAAAAGAAAAAAATAATTAATTGATAAGCAATAGAAATGTAACTATAAACATGTATAGGGATTTGGATTGTGTAAGTAATAAAAAATTAAGAAAAGGCATGTCAAAATACCTGGATAAATGTTGGCATAAGCAAGAGAAATTTTTTTGCAGGAAAGTCACAGTAGCTCGCTAAAATTAGGGTTAAAAAGGGAGAAATTATGACCTAACAGCATACCTATCAAATAAAAATTTAGATGAAGAAATGAAAGAGCAATAAAACTTGCACCATCTAGCTAAAACTAGCTTAAACCATTACACAATCTAGCTAGAAATATGAATCATTTTAAATTATTAGCAAATTATTAGCAAAATAAGAATAGATGAACAAACTGTCAGTCATCTAATAGTTGGGATATTTCACTAGTTCTGCAGTTATACTAGTCATACTATACTAAAATTATTCAAAGCACGGGCTTTCACTGTTATTTCAAAGTTGGGGACCACTCCCAGTAAATGTATGCCAATCTGTCTGAGAGTGATTGCAGGCAATCTGAGCTAGACTCGGATTGTTTGGAGAGCGGTTGCTGCAACATCTTGCAATCAGTTGACCAATGTGAAAAAATTCAGGGCAGTTACTGAGCAACCACTGATTTTCTCTGTTCAAGCAAGAAGGTTTCTGTCCTATTTGTACTGTGGTGTGACTGAATTTAATTGCTATGATTGGTTACTAAGCTGAAAGTGTTTCCAGTTTAAAATAATTTTCAAATAAACGTGTTTGAACTTGAAAAGTGGGGATGATGAGGTGTTCTCAGGTCTATCTGACAAACCTTTAAGGGTGTGTCAGAAAAAAGGTTTAAAATCTCTGCTTTACGTCATAACTTTGTCACTAACATGGAGTTTGTTCATTTTCTAGACCCTCATAATGACAGAGAAGATCAACCTAAAGGCTGAAAATGTAGAGGGACACATCCCAGACGCAGCTTGTCAAGACCACATGTTAGGTGAGTCTATGAGTTACTTTTCAGCTTTCACTAAAGGCAGTTTAAAAGAACAATATCTTTCCTCTTCTCTGATTTGAGTTGTTACTTTGCCTAAACTTCACGTCTTCTCTTCTCTGGGTTTCATATTCTATCTGCAAGTGTTTATCTCACTGAGTACAGGTTTTCATTTGGCTTAAACCTGTCAAAAATCAACCGGTGCAACAAAGCATTAACACATTTTTACAGTTGCAATTTCCTGATGTGACTGACAACTCAATTCCGTCGCCAACTGATTCCCCTCACTGCCAGACTCACCATTACTGTGGGGAAATAGCAGCGGTTGCAAACGGCACGTTGACAGTCTGTTCAGGTGATTGACGTGCAGCCGGGTGATGTTTCACAATGCCTGAGCAGCTAAAGAAGTGAAAAAATAAATGCATCAAACAATTGTGAGATGAGATGATGAGTGTTATTACTGCAGAGCGACAAACTTACATTGTAGATTGTAGCTCGGTGAGGGGAAGGAGGGGGTGTAGGTGCTGTTTACTGGATGTGGAGTGCACCGTGTTCATTACTCGGCTGTCACTCACCGGGTTATTGACAAATTGTTTCACAGATTCATCTCAAAGTACATAATGGCATGCTTCTTGAAATGTAGCTCTATTGCAGGTGTGAATTTAGATTTGCTGATAGCAGGGTAGCGATTTTGTTTTTTCTCTTAGTTTTATTAAAATAAATTAGATGGGTTATAACCCCAGCCAGTTTGTTTCGGAGGGAAAAGAGGGGTGTGCAGATAAGTCAGAATCATTATTTTATTTGTTCCTTCATTGCCAAAACTTGGGAGAACACTAAAAATGTAAATAAAATAGCTTATTCTGATGGCAAATGGTTAGGATGGCTGTACTATCAAACCATTTCGTGCTTTATATGTGCTATAACTGTAAGAGAGAAGAAATCGAAAATAATAAAAGATGTAAGTGAAGTAAAGGTAAGAACAGTATCGCAAATAAAACTTCAAATAAAATAAATAGTATATTCTAAAATCTCAGAAACGCTACAGGGAGCTGAAAACCACTAAAAATGTGTCCTTCTTAGAAGCCGAGTTGGAGCTGCCACTTAGAGCAGCTGTCTGAGGATGCAAAAGACCCGAGGGCCAACCTGTACATGCATGTTAAAAATAGAATTGCAGGACAGCGTGTACTGCATGTAAAAGAGGTCACTTAAGGTGATGAAATTCCTGACTCTGTGATTCCTTTTAGACAGGGCAAAGCCCTATGGGTACTTTTTTCAAGCATGTAACTTAAGAATTTTTGTGTCATTTTCAGCTGTGATAGGTAGGAGTTTTCAGAGAATGAAAACCTCCAAAAACCAACTAGCCACCAGACACAGCTGGTGAACATACACTGACCGGACACTTTATTAACTACCCACTGCTAGTAAAAGTATTGGACCCTCTTCTTCAAAACTGTTTCAATTTTTCATGGCACAGATTCAACGAGGTGCAACATTCCTCAGACTTTTCTGCCCATATTGACATGATAGCGTCACATAGTTTCTGCAGATTTGTCAGCTTGCACATCCATGTGAATGGGCTTTTAGTTGCTTAAGCTCTGGCGACTGTGGTAATCTTTTGAGTACAGTGAACTTTTTGTCATGTTCAAGAAACCAGTTTTATTTGAGTTTTGCAACAAGGCACCAATGACAACTATGCCATGTTTAAAGACACACCTTACTTTACCATTGTGATGCTCCTGAAAGGATAAGAATCTTTGATTGCTGCTGCTAGCACAGACAGCTTAAATAAACAAGCCACAATGTACCGGCTGTACACTGAACAAAATGTTTTTGTTACATTATTACAGTGTGCACACCCCAGTGGCCTAATGGATAAGGCACTAGTTTCCTATGCTAGGGATTTTGGGATTGTGGGTTAAAGTCTCATCTGGGGTGAGTTCCAGCAGTGGACTTTTATGAAAGTTGGCTCGCCAACGACTGCTCAGAGTCGTGGTTTTGTAAATTCTAGTATTGGGTTAGACCCCCTTTTGCCTTCTGATCAGTCTTAATTCTTCATGGCATAGATTCAACAAGTTGAGATTATCTGAGTTTTGTGATGACTATGTGTTATCCTGCAGTCATCAGAAGATAGGTGCACTGTGGTTTTAAAAGGATGGACACGTTCAAGCTCAGTTGGTACTTAGAGCCCAAAGTTTTCCATTTTGTTTACACCAAATTCTGAATGGCGTGGCAGAAATCGAGACTGATCAGACAACAAAACATCCAATAATCTGTTGTCTTGTTTTGGTGAGCCTGTGTGAATTGTAGTCCCAGTTTCCTGCTCTTAGCTGACAGGAGCAGCACCCAACGTTAGGGATGGGTATCGAAAACCGGTTCTTGTTGAGAACCGGTTCCCACTGTTTCAATTCCTTGGAATTCTTTGCCATTTTTGCAAACGATTCCCTTATCAATTCCAGTCGCCCTGAATGACGTCACCACGTTGCGGAGCGTCATTTACCTGGCAGGAAACATGGCGGCTCAAACGCTCAAAAGTTTGGTCATACTTTACGAGAACGGATGACAACTGGGCAACTTGCAATACTTGCAAAGTAGATATTTCATTTAAGGGAGGAAACACTACGAATATGCAAAAGCATTTGCTCACAAAACACACGATGACCTTAAATGAATGTCGTGTTTTTAATTCCGCTCCAGACTCGTGAATCTCAACCCAGCAGCAGCGGTAACGTTTGCACGTCCTCTCCCGTTAATGCGGCAGGTAAATAATCAACTAACAGTGCATATTATGTTAGCGCGATCTGCCTTATTACAAAACCTGCCATTACTGTGCATTTAGGTGACCATGATGAGAGAGACAGAGTCTGGCTCAGATGCTGGCAGCTCTCGCAGCTCTTGCTGCAGTCTACCGTTAGCGTCTCCTTTCAGGCCAGGATAGACGAATGTCACCGAGCAGTGACTAAGTTTGTGGTAAAAGGCTTGCACCCATTTGCCACAGCAGATGCCCCGATTTCACTTTGGTAAGTGAATGTGTTTAATTGTAGGCAGGGACATTACTGGATATTCTTGTGTAATTGCTACAGAATAATTTATGTTATACTTTTTTATTGCTACAGAAGAATATTTATTTTATTATTTTACATTTACAAATTTTTTTTCCTGGGGACCCTGTGACACCCCATTGAAGAGCCGTAGGCTGTGGATCTCTTAAGATCTCACTGCTGGGTTTGTAAGGCCATGTTACTCCTAAATTTCTATCTTGTTCAAAGAGAAGATATAAAACAAAGTTCTAAGCTAATCGACCTTAGTGTTCTCCTTTTTTAAAAAAAAGAATCGATAAAGAATCGAATCGTTAAACAGAATCGAAAATGGAATCGTGAAAATCTTATCAATACCCATCCCTACCCACCGTGGTCTTCTGCTGCTGTTGAGATGCTCTTCTGCATACCTTGGTCATAATGATTGGTTATTGTACTTCCTGTTGCTTTCCTATTAGCTGAATGTAGTCTGGCTATTCTCCTCTAACCTCTGGCATCAACATGCTGTTTTTACCCAGAGAACTACCAAACACTGGATATTTTCTAATTTTTCAGGCCATTCCCTGTAAACTCTAGAAACATCTATGTTTTTGAAATACTCAGACCAACAACCATGCCACATTCAAAGTCACTTAACTCGACTTTCTTCCTTATTCTGATGCTCAGTTTGAACTTTAGCAGGTCGTCTTGATCATGTCTACATATCTAAATGCACTGAGTTGTTGCGTTACTTATTAGATTAGATATTTGCATTAATTAGCAATTGAACAGGTGTACCTAACAAAGTGGCCAGGGACTGTAGTTAAGAACTTAGGTGCTAAAGAGTCAGAAAGTTCCTCCAGAAGTTGGTGGAGATCAAAACAGAGCAAAAACAAAACTGAATATTCAAAGGTTTACTAACAATAGCAATAAAGTCTTAGTCTCCAAACGTAATATATTTTAACTAGATGGAAAAGCTGGCCATTGTTCTCTGGGGTTGCATCTTAATTAGTCTTGTTTGTATGCAAAACATGCATGCTGGTGACAGTGAAAAATCTATACATCTGCCAGTTCTCACAATTAAAATAAATGTGTTTGTTAAGGCTGAGTGCAGATGGAAATAATCTCCACAGAAGCACAGAGTTGGCAGATTGAGCTGCGAAGCTACTAATCAATCACAAAATACTTTTGGCTTGAGCCACTAATAATGGGTCTGAGCCATGTCACCAAAAATAAAAATGTTAATTGTCTCTGTATTCTGGTTAACAGGCTGCCTTCTTTACATTCTGCCAACTAAGCGCTTCCCGACAGCCTGAATTAAATATTTAATAAAGGTTCAGCTGTGGCTGCTCGTTGCTTTTCAGCACTGCTATAATGTCACGTCCCTCCAAAGTGCAGCATTCACAGGCTTTAATGCCAGGTAAACACATCAATCATATAAATAGTTTACATCCAGCCGGTTTATGATGCAAGCAGCTCGAGTTATGAATGTGGGCTTGGAGGTTCACACTGGTCAGTTATTGTACTGTGCATTAGAAGAATTTCCCTCAAGGCAGGTATTTTTTTCCTCATAAAGGGACAATAAATAACGTTTTGACTGACCCGGAGCTCAAAATGACTCTAATACGTCTGCAGAGGTTTGATGGCACTGTTGATCAATACTAATAATTCAGCTATTACTTCACCAGGTGCTGATGTGTGTGGTGTTCAAAACTTACTTTGTAGACTTTTGTTTTTAGAAAATGGCGCTGCCTTTTTAAAACATTTTTAACAAGCACGAAAGTACAAAATAACAGAAAAAGACTGTATTCTTCAGCCAAAGAGGAATAATTTCAACTGGATGTTTGCTCCAGCAACAAAAGAGATAGTACACTCTGTTGTATTAATCCAGCCTTACAATTTCTGTTGTGTTTTTCTTCCTCGAATAAACCCATTTCCACGCAGAGGAGGTATCAATAAGGCAACTCTCTCTGCTCAAACCCTGGAGGTTGTATACAGAAGTGATAGGGAGCTCATGAAAAACTAGATTATGTCCAGTCGTTGTTCCCTCTGGGTAGAATTACTGTGGACCTTGTTATAGTTTGGTTATAGAGGGCATTTTGAACTGCCAGGCTTGGCATTCAATTACACAGCCGTGTAATCTATGGCTCTCTCCGCCTTTCGCTCTCATATACAAGTAAACATCCATGTGCATACGGAGGCTATGACATGCACTGAGATCAGCATTTCTGTTTATTCCAGTACATGTAAGTGTCCTCGAGGGCCTGATAGCAGATACATTTGCAACTAACAGGCCATCTGTGCAATGAACATGGTGTATCTGTACATCCAAACACTTATATAAGGACTCGTTTTCACAGTATGTTGCGAAATCTGCTGAAAGTTGGCGACATGCACCGATTTTTCTTCTCAAAAACTCGCTCAAATATTCCCCTACTTTGTGCATCTATTGGCAATGCTTTTAAATTTAGATAATGTACATTTAAGTAATGTACTTGGCATCCTTGCTAGAAAAACGTCCAAAGAGAAAATGGTAGATGGTACGAGCTTCACATCTAAGTGTAAATATTGTTTTCTGTTTTTCTTTCTAGCGGTAAACTAATTCTGAAGTATGCCCGATTAAGTACTTGCAAATTCTTTTTAAAGCTCACTGTGAAGCACAACAGCGTTGAAAGAAACCCTTTAAGCTTTAGTAACACTGAGAGGCAGAATCTGTAAATATCTACGCATTTCTGAGAGACTGAAGAAAAGAAAGCCTTCAGGTTCGCTTTAAGAGTTTTTAACAACCAATACTTGAAGATGCAGAACTGAAAAAGTCTTGAACTTCCACTGTTTTTTACTTCAGACAACTTTTTAGGAGGTTTACACTCCAGTATCTCCGATCATACTTCTCATCTTTCTTGTGTCCAAGGAACCAGACTTGAGCAATAGTTCTCCAGACTTTCTGAAGGTCTTTCAAAGTGTTTCTTTAGACATTGGCTTCTTTTTCACTCACTGTCAGTCCAGAACGTGTTCCCAACCATTTTAAAAGGAATGGCTTTGTCTGTTAAGCCACTTAACTCTGACCTATAAGTTATTCAAGCATAAAAAGACTCCTAACTCAATGGATGAACCAGTTTTGTTTTTGTATGTAACAGACACCTTAGTGAAGAGCCTATTTTACTTTTTTAACTTTGTTATTAGCAGCCTGTCACAAAAACACTTTTTTTTTTTCAATTTCTTAAGTACAATCTATGAAAAATACCAAAGATAACTGTACTAGTATGGTATTTTTGCACCAGGTGATTCCCAAAGCGATATTAAATAAAAACTTGGTCATACCAAATTCCGACTTTCAAGCTCGTTGGAATTCTACAAATTTTGGTTTTGCTTTATATGCTGTATTTACATGTATGTTTACACATGCTTCATTAAATCACTATTTCCCATTTTCCTTGCAAAATAGAAAGAAGTGGGGGTGGCTCAAGGCTTTTCCCAGTGCTGTAAATTAATCTGAATCTTTTTGACCCAAGAATTACTTTGACGTACTTTTATCTCATTATGTAAAACTCTGGCAATGTTTAATATGAGCGTCCACCATTGGAACAGTATACACAGCTGAAAACAAGAAAAAGAATAACAGGTCCCTGGTAAGAAAGCTAATTAATCCTCAGTGGTTTTCAGTGTAACTCAGCAAAAAGTTGCAAACCACTAATAATTAGCCGATGTAACTGTTGGCCATTACCGTTCACAGTTACAAGGGCCTGTGCTGTGCTGAATGGCCATCCATCTGTTCCAGCCTGAGTCAAGGCTCTGCAAACTGTGGTTTCTAAACGACATCCATCTGTTCCTACTCGCTGTCACATCGCCTGATTACAACCCAGCGTGCACTCTGATGAATCCAAGGAGCATGTCCTCGGGTTGCAGCTCAATCGTGTATTTAGTTCAGAATTGCTGGCAGCAGGTGTTTCTTGTGTACTGTGTATATGAGAACTGTGTGCCTCTCACCATAGTGATAACTACAAATGGGCATCAGAAAGGAGCTTCCAAAAAGTACTGTGTCAGTTTAAAATGTTTTGTTTTCTCTCTTTTTCCATTTACATTGTGTTTTGAACCTGCTACAGATTCCTTGTTTACACACAACCCTTTCCGCTGCATGTAAATCCAGGTCCTCCTTTTCTTTTCCTGTGTCGTTGTCTCCTGCTTCTCCCAGACGTCACACTCCTCTCCCTGTCACTTTAGGCTTCGGCTGTCAGATGAGAACCCTGGACAGCGGCATCGGCACCTTCCCTCTCCCCGATTCTGTCACCCGGGCCAGCAGTCGCCACATCCCTAAATCCGAATCCAGCCCCGAGGGGGTGACCGGTGGCTCCTCTGAGCTCGATCGGGAGCCTCCCTCTTCTCACCCTGACCCCTCACAACCTGATGTGAAAGTGCCTTCCCTTTCAAAACCCCACCCGCATGTCTCTATGAGCATGGGTCACTCCCTGTCTGACCCCACTGTGACCTGCAGCAACGACAACGCCCAGGACACCCAGAGCCGCCTGCCCAAATTAGCATCCTCAGGTAAGACAGGAATATTAACTGTAAACAAATGCCTCACAACATAGCCTTCTTTTTCCTGTTTGTAGACCCTTTATAGTATTGACCGGTCATTTTAAGTGGAATGGCAACCCATTGAGTCGAGTCCCCTATGGCATCGCAGACAAGTTGTACTCATTGGTGTAGAGTGAATCAGATTGACTGCAACATGATGGGAGTTTCATAGATTAGAAGCAGTTACTTACAAACCTTTGCTGAGAGCGATTGCAGTCAGCCAGAGCTGGTCTCTGATCGTTTGGAGACAGGTTGCCTTCCAATAAGCAACCTGTTTAATTGTCTTGTGATTGAAACTGTTTCCTTAGGAGTTGAAGGCACTGCACGATCAACCTCTGGGGAACCAGTTGGTTGCTGCTAACTACTTGCATTCGGTCACCAAATGCAAAAGAAAAAAATCAATGCAAACACTGGGCACCCACCAATTTTTCCTAAATGGAATGAGGTTGTAGTCCTGAATGGAAATCTGTGGACGATTTTTTTGAAACAGCAGAGATGGCGATTGCCCAAAAAGGCCAACTGTTTGCTTTGAAACAGTCAAAGTGGAGAATACACCCAGCTACTCGTGTTGTTACACTGACATGAGTGCATCGGTATTGGATTAAACACCTAACCAAAATATCAGCCAAGTAAATATGGCTGGCTAGTTTGTGAATCTCTTGGATGAATATTTGATTCCTAGTCAATCTGCCTTTCAGGCCAAATGAACAAATCCACTACAATGACAGCGGTTTCATTTCTGAAGAGTTTCCTTCAAGGTTACAAGTGATGGTTGATGATTTTCTGCAGTATATCTACCTGCAGTAACCCTAGCTTGTGCATTCGCTTGTATAAGCATTACATTTACAACTTGCAGTGCTTCTTAAATCAAAGCAAAGGTGCCAGCCTCATTTATATCTTACAGATAATAGATGTCTGGCTTTATTAATCTAATATATCACTGATACTCATCAGTGCTTTGTACTGTTAGTTTTTTACAGCACTTTTTTTCTTTAAATTAACTTGAAGGTCATCAGAGCTGCCAGGATGTGGCACCACAATAGAAAGAACAGTGCTTTTCATTGTGCTTTTCAGGCTATTCATGTTTTCCATCGAGGTCACAGTGGAAATAAATTTAAATCCATGCCTGTAAACGTTACCATTATCATGTTTGATGGACAAAAAGCCTAGGCTCGAAAGCCTCAGACAGCTTATTTACCTTTCAGGAAGTTAAGTGAAGTATTGAATGTCACTGTACTTTATGTTAATGCATTTTCCTCCTGACTGCTCAAGGGCTCCCGAGGAGCAGACAAGAGGAAGCCGTTTGGTTTATTAAACTCTGATTAAAAGAAGAACCTTGTTTGTTCAGCTAATTCAGAGACTAATGCATCAACACTGACATCTGATACTCAGTTGAGATAGTAGAAAGCCATACACTCCCACTCCCCGAGGAAAACCAACAAATGCTATTAGATAGGCACGTCACCGCAGCCATAGATCATAAAGCACCTTCTGCTTCGGCGTCGGCCATGATGCACGGCAGAACTGCGGAGGGTAGCATGCAATCAGATGGCTAATTAAAGCTACAATAACACGCAGGGATGAGCGCTCACACCCGGAGATTTGTGCTTACAAGACATTAGGCGGCATCTCGTTCACCCCAGTGCTGCGGTGTCACTGCAGAGGCAGGAATCTGAGGCAAAACTACAAACATAAAGTGGCTCCTGTTGAGTCTTCCCTGTGAAACAAGTTGATTATGAAAGCCTTAACAGTAAGCTGTGCGTCTTTATCACAGGTTTTACCTCTTTGTCCTTTCCTTCATCATTATAAAAAATTCAAAAAAAGTAAAGGATACCTGAACAGACAGAACGTCTGTCACATTGTTTGTTTCGTAATGGGTGAGAGGAAGAAGGGGAAAGGACTTTTATGATCTCCATGCAGATTTCTCAGATGGAGACAGAACGCGAGCCAAAAGCAGCCCGTTATTGTAATGCAGCTGAAAGAGAGGTTTCTGAATGCGAGACAATTAAACTGGCGTCTGACAGCACTGGGTAGAGTGATAATAAGACGGCCCGACGTCATTTGGGGACGACAGCTGAAAGCTGTTCTGTTGGCTGCCAGGAGTCGTGGATGGAGCAGTCACAGGGTGGACGCTGTTAACATTTCATTCAGATATGCGAATGGGAAATGGGTTTGTAGCCAGCTGGATAGGTTTCGACTGAATAGATGTACAAGATGTACTCATCCCGTGTTTCATCAGCCTGTCAGCTCAAGGAGAAATTACCACGAGAATTACAGTGGTCTTTCCCTGCTCCACTCCCACGTCTATCTGCCCTACGTCCAAATATGTTGCAGTTTGTAGTTTATAAGTAAAAGTCCTTTTCGATTGTCGCTCTGAAGTATTTGACTGTTCCTCAAATGACTGTCGTGGTAGACTTCTGACTTGCTAGCTTTACAGCTGTTTCTCCTGTTTGTGCGGTAGCATTTAGCTGGCTAACAAACCATTCCGCTTCTGTTTTGTCGCTGAACAGCCTCTAGTTGAATTATTACCACTTTTTGGCAGCAGTGTCACATTACACACTATCAGGCACATCGATTAGCACAGCAAATATATCAATTTTAAGAGAAAAAGTAGTTGCATAACCTATTTGATCACTTATAATTTAATGATTTTTCAAATACTCAAAAATCCTGCGTGTATCTAGTTGCCGGTGGATATTCCACGCTCTGTTTGCACTTGGTCATATGTTAGTTCAGATCTTCTTGTAAAATTCAGTGGTCAGTGTTCGCCACATCACCTTCATCACCGTCTTATCATGTTTGTTATAAACCTCCTGCCTCATTTCTCTTTTATATCCCTCGATTTCTAGATGCAATCCAGACAAAGAGGTTGAGTTTTTGTGCCCCACGCAGCAACATCTCAGGTTCCACTGAGGACAAAGAGACAGAAGCAGAGAGGAAGATGAAATCCAAGGACCATGATATGCTGGGCGTAAGTGGTTTACATTACACTTAGTCTAAGTTGACATATTTGTGGTTCTTAAAGAGACTCGAGAGATACCCAGACACTGTCTCAAACTTTACACAGTTTCAAAGATGAAATTCTTTCATTAGCTGCAGAGTTGAAAATGGTCATTGCTTGTTTTTGAGGAATGAGGTAATAAAGTGGTGGCCACACACTAGCATTTTTCCCACTAATGTCACCAGGGAGGCTGTATACTTACCAACTGTTGAGGGTAACGTGTTGTGAAGGAGCTTCTTAGAAATATCTGTTTTTGTTGCAGTTAATTGCTTTTGAATTAAGCAGTTACAGTTTTTTAATGCGTTTCTTTAGCGCTGCTAAGCTAGTGAGATGGCAGAAAAGACAGCCTTTTCTTAATGGAAGTATTCACTTTATTTTGAATATATAGTTGAAAGGAGACAATAACTGCATCACAGTGAAATGCAGTGTGCGTGTGTTGAGAAAAATAATGATGGCCGTGCTGCAGCTACAGAGCATCAGTGCCTAGCTTTTAGGTCAGCTGAAACTGTCACTCCAAGGGGGATTAATTAGCTTGTTGCTGATTATGTGGTAGAGGAGAATACATTCAGATGTAGAAGTCCGGTAGGATATACTCCAATCTGACAACATAACCAACATGCACAAGCTAATTATTACCTTTATTTAACCAGTCCCATTGAGATCAAAGAAATCTGGCCAATATCTACAGCATGATGTGCAGTGTACAGATACTCACACAATCACTTCACTGATTAAAGTGTGTTTAGAATCAGATGTTTCTGCAGTTAGTCCATGTCCAAGGTGCACAGGAAGAAAATTAAAAGAAAAAGAATAACCCAGAAGTACTGTAGACTTTGCTCTCCTCAGCAGGTAAGATCACACAGGCCCAGAGACTGGTCTGCAACCTCGTGGCAACCTCCAGTCATGAGTGAAAAATGCGTATTCTCCTCACTTACGTTTCAGAAGGCTTTTTATTTGACAGTTAATACGGTAGTCTCTGTTTCTGGTTTGTGTCACACTTTTCACAGTTTCACTACCATTTAGCAAGTAGTTGAGAAGTGCTTGCAGACTAGTTGGCAACTGCTGCAACCACTAGAGACCAAAGCAATTAAAAGGAGGTTACTCCCCAAGCACAGTAAACCTCTTTGCAACTAGTTTCACCTAGAAAGCAACTTCCAGCAGCCAATTGCCAACAAAGTTATTCTTGGTTGCCAGGGGGGTTGTTGACCAAACTCTAGACCTGTGTGACTGAGGTCTTATAGACCTGGGATTCAAATAGTGCTTTTCTAGGCTTACTGACCGCTCCAAGCACCTTTACACTACAAGACACATTCATATGCACTAACGTAGTGCCTTATTACATGTTGTTTAGGTGCTTTAGCACCACATCAGGGGCATTTATAGGGTTAGTATAGTTGCTAAGGGGACACTTTGACACTTTGGGATTGGGATCTATGGCTCCCAGCCGGTCTCCAGGACTTTGTGACTCTGTAACATTACCGACTGTTTTATAATGTTGCAAATAACTTTTAAAAGTAAACTTTCTCAAAACTGTAGGTATCTACATATGAATAACTAAATTTGCTACTGAACTAAAAAAGAGAGAAGCTTAAACACCACTTTGCTTTGCAAAAAGTTAACTTAGTCATGAGGGCTATATTTAAAGTTTTTTCCTGGTATCTTCTCTGTGCAACAACCAGACTGCATAATAGCGCTCGTATGGATTTGAAGGCGCGTTATGTCTCTGTTTTAAAATGACTTTTTTGTTGTCCATGAATAGGAAAGAGCCTTGCGAGTGTGCACGTACTCAGGCAGCAGCAGCGACACTGAGACTGAACCCGAGGGGACAGGAAGCACTTTGGGCTCGCCGCAAAAGACCCTGATCAACAGAGCTAAGAGGAATGACTCAGGTGTGGTTGAAAATTGTAGTCGCTGAATCTTTCATGAAGCTTCTTCAGTCTTTATCTTTTGTAGAAGTTGGATCAAGTTTAACAAAAAATGCCTTTTTTGTGAATCTGTTTCCTGTGTTTCTAGTCGAGCAGAATGAGGACACCCTGAAGAGAAGAAGTGTGGAAAAATCCTTGTCAATCATGGACTACTACCAACACGACATGTTCTCGCACCTGGAGAAGGACAGCAGGAAGATTTCGCAGTACAACCTGCTGCACAAGGAGTCGGCCCTTGATGGAAAAGCTGGAGACAGGCTCAGTGTGAGTATTCAAACTCCTCATTGTTTCCCCGCTAATCAGATTCGCTCATTAACAGCTGTTTTACAGGCTTGCTGCCGATTCCCATCAAGCATTTTATTCATGTTAAACTTTCCTGCCGTCCAGTAGGTCACTTTCTAAGTGTTTCAATTTAGCGGGTGAATGTTCTGTATATTAATAGTTATTATTGATTGGTAAGCCTCAGAATACCATTAGAAAGAGAAAATGCACTACGCCCTGTGTTTGTTGTTCTAGGATAAATCAATTGGCTCTTAGCGTAGCCCAAAAAGAGGCACTTTAAAGTGTTAAAAGCCATGCAGCTCCCAGATGTATGCTTCTTTATGCAGCATAAAGAGGATGAGTATTGAGTCAGAAAAACGGCGCCTGACCTCAATGAAAGTCTTCCCAGGATGGAAGATGCATAATTTCGCTTTCCTTGCAGCGGAGGCAGAGGGAGGAAGAATAAATTGGACCGTTAGGATTCTCGTATGTCGCAAACTTCGGCAAGGAGACTCCTCAGATGGTCAGACTCCCAAAGCACAAGAGCTCTTTCAAAGTCACTAAAAATCCAAGGTTTTTTCTTTTTTCTTCCCGCTAGAGTTGTTTGCGCTCCCAAGGTTTTTCTCTTCGGCCGTTTGGAATCGTTTACAGATTTTCACGGAAAAAATCCGCCTAATTGCTTTCGATCACCTCACCCTCTTGTGTCAGCGGGTATTTGCCTACAAGTATTTAACGCTGCTGAATGACAAATTAGAATCAGAGACCATGAAATGGCCTGCAGCCTGCAATATGCTGGCTCTCTGGGACAAACTCTCTTACAGTGCGCCTGCCCCAGCAGCAGCAGCCCTGACATAAAAATCCATAATTTTAAAAAAAAAGGCCTGAGTCAGCACGACTTTTTAAGAAAAACTATTGTCTATTAGAGATGGGGGAGAAAAATCTCAATTTATGGTGTGGGCTGGTTCTCGACCTCTGAAGTCATCTTGGAATTTAAAATGAGATCAGATCGAATCTATTTGTAATCATTTACACCCACAAATTAGAAAAAATAAACATTTTTTCGAATTTAGATCTCATTCCCACCATTAAACAGTCAAGTTTTGTTGTGCACATGCAGCCTCCATCTGAACCATGCTGCAGATTATTATGACAAATTGCGCTGGGTGTAGGTGATGCAGTGAGTCCAGGGTGATTCAGCAAGTAAACACACACCCGAGTGTCCTGAGAGCGGCACTCGAGCACAAATGAATCCCCCTAAGCTCCGAAGGTCAGTTTGCTGACTCTGCCAAGTCAAGCAAAAACAGCGTTTCGATCAAGTATTACATTATTGTACAGAGGCCGATTCGCCATTTACCAAAGCAAAGTTCAGCGACTCCACTCGAACTACAAGCGAGGAAACAGGAAGAGAGAGATTTCTGATTCCGATCCGAGTCCCGGTGGACAGGCAAAGCATCGAACGGGAAGCTTTTGAAGTGACGCTGTGCGGCCAAGCTGCAAGCACAGCTCCATTAGCCCAACGGACTCAAACAGGACAAGCAAGGCTGTGTTTGTCTCATCCTCAGACCTGCCTGTCATGTAATTGGATGCGCAAGGCTACGTTTCCCAGTTGAGTGTTGGCTTGCAACACTTACAGGGACTGCTGCAATAATGTGAGGTCAGAAGTTCAACCCCTGAAACACCCAAGAAGCACGCCTTGTCAGAGTGAAACCCGTGAAAACTTGCTGTCATAAAGCTGCTCAACTTTCTTTAAAAAGCTGCTTAGTATTGTTTCACAGCTGTGAGATTATATTAGTGGGTGGATGTGCCTAATTCTAATATTCACGTGTTTTTGAGCACGTACTTTAGGACCAAAGCTGCAATGGCCCCAAATGCAGTTTATCAATAGGCCTCCATTGTACAGTAATACAGCGATAATGAGTGTTAGCTGCTACCACTTGGGAGTAATGGCTTTGTGTGTCGTAGCATTGGAGGTTTATGAACTGATCCAAGAGGTTAAAGAAACAGCTTCCTCAATAATAGCTGACACTGTCATGAGGAGTAATTTACTTGTAGACCACTTTGCAGGTTTCTAACTCTAATTTCAAGACACTTTGCGTTTGGTATGAAATGTGTCGTATTTTTCTGCTATTCGTATTATGGTAGTCATGTTTACTGCAAAAAGTTCAAATAAAGCAGCAACTTCCATACATGAATAACAAAAACAACGACATTTCAGAAACTGCAGTTTCTCTACTGGCTCTGAAAATGACTCGTTCCCCATAGACTTCCAGTTTTACAGAGGAAATAAACAACTTTCCACCCAGCAGCTAAAAACTGTTTTTATGGTTTTAACCAATTTCCCCCCAATTTAAGAGCCTGGCTGCTTTCACTGGAAGATGGGTGCCAACGCAAGTATCCACACCTGTCTGCTAGGCTAACCAAATAATGTGACGAATGATATCTGTTCCTGCTACCTTTAGCTTGTATCTCAAGTCCTGTTTCTCACAAGGTAAAGCTGGTTGTTGTTAATCCAAAGGTTAGTAGTTTGCATGTCACACTGTCCTTGAGTGAGATACTGACCCCAAGTTGGTCCCAATTTAGAACTCCTCGAACGAATGTTAGACAAAGTGCTTAAAGTACTTGTAATACCTGTTTCTTAGTACGCCTTTAGTACCAACTGAGTTTGATTATGTCTATTGCTACAAGACAGGATGGATCTATGCATGCGTGGGCCCTGTGATTGGCTGGTACTGACTAGGTATTTGGATTAATGAGCAGTTAAACACACATACCTAATGAAGTCACCGGTGAGTGGAAGTACCAGTCCGTGTAAAATGTGACTTTTCAAACCCAGGGAGACAAATCCAGATGAAGAGGAAGTCTGATTAGCTTTATTAAAAGGTAAAAGGTGTTTCAAATGCAACAACAGCACACCTGAGTTTGTCTAAACTTTTTCTTAGGTACAAATAGTATTGTAAACTTACAGTTTTTAGACAAAGCACCAATAAAAAACCCAAAATACAAATAAAAAAGAGCAGCTGTAAAATTTAACCTGTAAAGTTTGACTCCACCTTACTACTGCTGCATAGTAAATTTACTTACTCCGATGGGAACCCACTTACTGAAGCATCCTATCGCACTGTGTACGTTTGCTGTGATTTTACTAGCAGCTAATTCCACTGATTTCAAACTTCTGCGTTAAAATAAGCATTCGTGTCAACAATAACCTTATTCGTCAGCCGTGAACTGGCCGTAATGATCGATGACTGCTTCTGAACCCATTTACCCCGCATTATTCCTCTGAAAAAGACAATCTATCCGAGTGTCATCACCTCCTCACCCCTGGCTGTGCACGTCCACACCTGTGCGGCCGCTCTCCTTTTGTCGTGGCTCGGGACCATTTGACTGTCACCGGCTTTAGTTTGGGGAAGTTTGGTGGCTGGTAGCGGGCCTGTGTCAGAGCCCTGTGATTTAAGCGCCTTTAATAACCTTTCACAAACACTCAGGAGAGTGATGTAAAGCTCAGCGGCTCCCATCAGGGCCCTCAGAGCCCGTGCTGGCCTCCCATTCATCATCCTGACAGCACCTGACAGCCCCGCTAACGGCGCCCCCCGCCCCCCTTCTCCTTTCTATCCTCTCCTTCCTCCCAGTCTCTCTTTCTCCCACGTGTCTTTGCCTGTCTTCCCCTTCAGTTTTGCCCCTCTCTATTTCTGTCTCCCATACAACTCTCTTTGTCTTTCTTCCCAGTTGACTTTGCCCGCTTTCGCTCTAAACAGGTTTCCTTTGTCTCCTTCTGTCTTGTTTTTGTCCTCCTTGAATGAACTTTTGTGCTTTTATTGCTTTTCCTGCTTACTCATTACTTTCCCCCCTTTATTTCCACGCTTTGTCTGGGATATTGCTGCAGGAAAACAGCATCAGAACTTGTGCCAAGGTGTGGCATTGGTGATATTCCTGTGGCCCAGGTCCAAACAAAACCCTTCTGTGTAGCACAAATCAGCAGACTCCTCAAGCGTGGAACAGCTTGTTACCTTGGGCAGTAATTACATGGTGAGGGTTAGGGGAACATTTCAGTTGACATGCAGTTTGAAATAAGGCCGCTAGATAACCAAAACTGCATCAGTGTACAAATAAATATCAGCAGCAGGAATATGCGCTTCCCACTGTGTCACTGTCAGGCTGATAGCATCGCCAGAGTCAGATGGAAAAGACCCCGAAATAGAAAGCGAGAAGCCGCCATCGCACTTTCACCACACTGGCCCGCGATCAAATTACTCGCGCAGTGGTGACAGCAAAGACAACACATAGCCCGAGACAATAAATAAGTTATATTAGCATTTCCCCTCCCACCACCACTGTTGTCCTCATTGTAAAGTAACCCAGACGCTACGATCACACGATGCACGGACACGAAGTTGCTGAAATTCTGTCAGCAACAATAGAAAATGAGTTTTCCAATTACTTCTCCCTCCAAACTTTTCTCAAACCTGACACTGACCAAAGTTGTGATTTGTTGCCTCCTTTCAGCACAGTTCACACTGAATACACTTTCACGTCATTGAAACTGGCCATGAATAGTTTCTAATAACCATTCAACACCCAGCTTGATGTCTGTCCACAGCTGCTCTGATTTTCTTGCAGATAACATGGGAAAAAATTGTTTTGTTAGTATTAACACAAATCTCGCTTCATAATGCCTCCATGTGCTGAATACAGATCTGCTTCTATTAATTTTTTTTCTCATCACATCCTTTCGGCAAACTTAAATGCCAGCAGTGGACTTGTTGCTTTATTTTGAGGATGAACAAATAACATCTATGTCAAAGTCCTTGAGCTCTCAATCTTGGCTCGTAGTGACAGGAAGGTTTGCAAATTGGTTTACAGTGCAGATAATAATAATATCTGTCATCTTATTGCAAATTATATCTTCAATAAACCAGTCAAAAGAAGCAAGTCAATCCTCCATATACATTCATGTTAAAAATACATACTATTCAGGAGAAATAAACATGTTTGCAGCCTGTTAC